CTCTTCTAAGAAGAGGACAACAGTGGGATTGGCAGGAGAAGCACCAGAGGCCTTTGAGGAAGCAAAAGGAACGGTTCAACGGGTGCAGGTGCTTGGTATTTCCTGGGTTGGCCAAAAAGCATGGTGCATTTTTTCCATTGAATAAAAGACATTTTTCATTTTCGCCAATAACTTTATTGATTTGGATATTTTGAGTATGCCGGCTATCTTCCACTCTTGGCTTCTAGAGGGTAGAGGCCAGGGCTGCTGCTAAACATCTTCCAGTGCATGAGACAGCCCCACAGCAAAGGATTATTTGGCCAAAATGCCAATAGTACCAAGAAACTTTGCAAACCACTTTTGACACCTTTGATCAGTCATAGCACCTTTTCCATACACTGCACAAATCTTTTTTTTTCATTTTAGTTGCATTTTTATCTTTCTTGAAATAATAAAGCATAATACATCAAAAATGTTGCATATCTTCTTCCATCTTCAGTATTAAAATGGCTGCACAAAAGTTCACTATTTTTGGTAAGTTTTTTTTAAAGGCACGCCGATATGACAGCCATCACAATACAATCTATCAAAATTGTTTCGAATGAAGTGAAAGACAACTTAGCACTACTAGAGCCACCATATGGAAAAAACGTAAGACTTTTTGGCCAACCTAACACGGTCCAGCCCTCCCTGGATGTCACGGGGTCTTTGACAACAGCAGGGGAGGCTCTGCACCCCAAGAGGGTTTTGGTCCCAGGTATGGAAAGGCGCTGAAGCAGGATACAGTCTAATAGAGAAACAGCTCTATGCTACCAAGCCCTGCAAGCAACCGGGGCTGTAACTGGAAGCTCTGCTGTAACGGTGTGGACCACCTGTCCCATCAAGAGGTGGCTGAACAGTATATCTCACACTCCGAAGTCTGGGGTAGCACGGACACGAGCTATCACAAAAGTGTTTACCTTCAGGAGAGACACATCCATGTGACATCCCCTTAGCCAGGAACTGCAGACGTTGTTGGGGCCAGTCACCTTTGTGTCAGGTGGAGATGCTGAAAAAGACACTCAGGGAAGAGCCCAACGGTCCTTCACCACTGAAAACTGGTACAGATCCAGTACCGCGCGACGCCTGGTATACTGATGGCTCATGCATAGGGCAGCCCCCTAAATGGTATGCCCAGTATGGGACAGTGTGGGATGACATATGGACAGTCTAAGGAGGTGACTCTACATCATGTCACAGGATATCAACTGTTACAACGTCCAGGGAATGATGAAGCGGATGCACCCATTCACATTCAGTGGCTAGAAGAGGCCCCAGCAGAAGACCTGGACATGTGGGTACACAGGAAAATGAAATATATAGAGCAGAAAATCCCCTGGGCAACAGCTAAAGCCTGGGGCCTCCCGCTGAAAATGACCGACATTGTTACAGCTTGCCAACAGTGTTCTGTTATCGGTGAACCTGCATCCACATCCCCGGCCAACAACAGGATGTTATGTGCAAGGCTTGGCTGACAGCCGTGACACTGAATGGTGACTGCACCTAACTTACAATCCAACAAGAACTGGATAGTTAAGATGTTATAATGGACTGTTGAAAAATGCCCTGAAAACTGAGGGAGGGTTTTTACAAGAATAGACCGACCACAAGTCTCTCTGATGTACTAGTAACCATGAATGAAAAGCTCCGACGAGATTGACCTGCAGCATTCCAGATGCTGCAGATGTGGGCGTCCCCCTGAGAGTGCAAGTTCCAACAACGGTACTAAGATAAGGCCTTTTGTGGGGAAGTCTTACTGTTGTTGCTAGCACCCCAGGACATACACCTTGAAGCTAGTGTATTAACCTGGCCCTGGGAAACTCAAACTGGTACCCGCTGGTGCACTCTCCTGGCCCCATGGTGGGAGGCTCTTGCCCAAGGCTTCTTATACAACCTACCATAACTACGAAATGGCTGTATACTATTCAATAACCCTGGGAAACTTCTCGAGGTAGGTACCTTAATTATTTCCACCTGGCAGATTCACACTTCTACTCTCACAGCTAGCCTTCTAGGCCAGGGGGAAGTCACCAATCAAAAGGTATGGCATGGGAGGCTAGGGAGACCACCTGAACAAACCACTGTTCTTACACTGGGTAGAGCAATGGCCTGTTATTTTATGCACCGCTGATTTGCCTCTGTTGGTGCCTACTGAACATATGTCTTATTCTCCTTAGTTCAGTGCAGGCTAACAGCTTTGCAAGATGGGCTGATGAAGTAGCTCTCCGGTCCAATGTTTTGGACTGTTGGGTGTGTTCGACGATGCCCCTCTCTGCTACTGCTGGGCTGCCTTGGAAAACGAATCCAGTCAACCTTACAGGATGATTTTATCTCAACATCATTTGGAAAATTGTCTTGGGGCTGGGGATGAGCGTTATATACTGATACTGTTATGTGTAAGTCTGTTATTCCTTTGCTCTGTTACATTGTTGCTGTAGAGTATGGATACAATGTCTCACCCATCCTCCTCTCCCCAGGATATACGTAGAAGATGTAAGTGGGCAAATTGTACTTAGAGGAGAAGATACCCATATTGAGATAGAATGTGTGGTATATAAAAACTTGGGCCCCTTCCGAGGCTTCAAACTCCCTCTCACCCTGTGGGAATAAGACAAAGTCCACCTGTAAGCAAACTCTGGGGCTGACCTTAGGCCAGCTCCCAGGTCGAGAAAAGGCCAAAGAGAAACTGCTTCTAGATGTGAGCCTAGACTGTAATGAACTGCAGAGAAGTAGCTAGTGTTTTGATCTCCCTCAGCTTGTGCACAGGAACGTACCCCTCCCACCAACCCGTTTGCTTTGTTTTCTGTAGTCTACATAACCCAATGCTGGGGAAGCCTGTTTTGGCCACCAGGCAGCCACCACCCATGGGCACCTAAGCCCTAATAAATCCATCTCTTTCACAGCCAGTCCTCTGCGTTATTTCTTTGAAACTGGCAAGCAATACTCAGGTTTTCTGGAACTTCAGCCATTTGCATCACAGCAAGTTACAGAGAAAGCTATTGAGTGTTTTGGGGAATGTTAAGACCTTAGGCTTTTTTCCAGAAATTTGACCCCTCTGAATTCCCGAAGTGATAAATACAGTAGGGGAGCCCCTACCACCAAGAGGGGTCAACTGACTCGGCCACCTTTATTAGTTTTTATTAGTAACATGATTAGACATACTTGTTACTTGAAATTGGTTAAAAAATGAAGTTTTAACATGATACGGTGGATAACATTTGATGCTTACTGAAAAATGTCACTAGACCACTCTTGAGAGCTCAGCCTAACTAGAACTTTTATTGAATAGACTTCTCTTGAGGTTTGTAAAAATTTGGAATACAACTTTTTATCATTTCAAGACCCTAATAAAATGTCACATTGGCACACAGGTTTCAAAAGTTCGACTTTAATGTCTAAGTATCCCTAATGCCCGCTTTCGAGTCACCTAGGTCCCTATGATGTCTCTCTCATTTCTTCCTAAGTTGAATTTTAGATAGCACTTTGTAGTCACACTTACTTCATCCATGATCTCCAAGAATGTTAGGGATTAAGAGCATAGTAAGTTTAGCCCTGGCTGTTGTGGCTCAGTGGATTGAGTGCCGTTCTGTGAACCAAAAGGTTGCCAGTTCTATTCCAAGTCAGGGCACATGCCTGGGTTTCGGGCCAGGTCCCCAGTAGGGGGCGCGTGAGAGGCAACCACACATTGATGTTTCCCTCTCTCCCTCCTTCTCCCTTTGTCTAAAAAAAAATAAAATCTTTAAAAAAAAAAAAAGGCATAGTGAGTTCAGAGGAAATGACCTTGGATAACACAAGAAATATATACATCCTTGCAAGGTTTGATTCACAAACAAATTAATGTTCCATCAAAAGAGCCCGTGTATTTCTGGACAATGTACAGGACTTGGAAGTGGCAATCTTTTGATGTTATTCACCCCCTCACCATAATATAGATAGAGCCACCTTGGTCCTTTCAGACTTAGCCATTGCGTCGCCTCTGGAGACAAACAGGTTCTGACAACTTCGAGACATCAGTGATCACCTGTGGCCGAGCAGCTGCTGCAAATAGGTGATGTTGCCAGAGCCTAGCCGAGTTCCTGGAACACGCTCTGTACTCCCAAACAGGTTTTCAGATGAACAAATAATCATGCCTTGATTGGTGTGGCTGTTGGCTGGGTGTTGTTCTGTAAAATGGAAGTCACTGGTTTGATTCCTGCTCAGGGCACATACCTGGGTTGTGGGCCAGATCCCTAGTTTTGGGGGGTGTGAGAGGCAATGTTTCTCTCCCTCTTCTCCCTCCCTTCCCCTCTTAAAAAAAAAAAATCTTAAAAAAGAAAAAGGAAGAGATCATGTAAGGTAACCCATGTCGGGTTTCTTTCTGAAGTGCTGTCCTGGTAGTTGGCCTTGACCCAGCAGGCTGAATAGTGTGGCACCTCTGCGGGGGGAACTCTCCAGGTGGGCAGTCTGAGAAGTTTCATCACCCTGAACCCACATCATGCACAATATATAAGGATACTAACCTTGCTTGTAGGATGGATGAAAATAGCTAACATATAAGAAGGAAAGACATTCAATCTGTGTTTTCTCTACAGGACTTGAATCTCTAGGCAAACCCTAACAGCTTGGCACCTCATCTCATCATTGTCACTGGAGAGTTTCAAAACCAACTCAGAGGGAGGTCCAATACCTTCAGTTCTTTAGGAAAACAAATGGTGCAAGGAAAAAATAAGGATCATTAACTTATGGAAACTAAAAACTCTTGCACATTCCCACTCATTCCACTCAAAGCTAAATCTCTGGTTTTCAAATGAAAAAAAATCTAAATCCATAACCTTAGAGAAGATTAGTCTGGGCATCATTTGGCCAAAAGAAAAAAAAGCAGTAAACACATTCACCGATGAAAAGCTGTAAGGGAAGGAGCAGTGATCAGGCACTTTGGAGAATGGATGTTAAGGAAAGCGTGTGCACAGACACATAGAAAACAAATAGGCAAAGACTCTGAATGCATGATTACTAAGTTTAATTCAACTGTTATACCCAATTCTGCCTTGTGAAAATAACAAAATGTTATCAAAATTACATTGTCATGTAAGTACAGGTGTGTTGTTTTTGATACAGCTCTAGAAAAAAGTTGGCACCAAATGCACATAAAGTTTTAAGGCTTAATAAAAACACAGACTGGTAATTTCTCAATGCAGCTCAGAGGCTGAGAACAGAATGCTAATAGTTAATCAATCTTCCAAATACAGCCCTAATGTATAGAGCATTTTCCAAATACAGATGACCATCCCCAACAGGCTCACAGGAACAGAAACTCCTCTTCTGCTTCTCCGAGTGACCAGACTGCCCAGGCACTCTAAACCTACTCCTATGCTCCATGGAGGAAAAAGAGGGAAAAGATGAGAAGAGTAAAGGCTGGAGTTGTCACTGCTGCCCAGAGGCTCTTGCTATAGCTCATGTTGTCCTCATCCCCCCGGGCTTCTCATCTTCAGTTTCTCCCACGTCCACCCCAGAAATCCCTGCCAGTGGACGGAACTGGAGTTCTTCCTCTCACTGGGCTGACAGTGGGGGTGAAGCCACAAGGGCAAGCAGTACAACGTCAGGGTTCTTCCTAGCAACCCAGTTTGGAATTCACAAATCATTTTCTTGTATGTGAAAGACAAAATGCACTTATAAATGGCAGCTCATTTCTACCATTAGCACATTTCATTGTAAGTTAAACAACTTAGTATATTTGGCCTTAAAAGCTAACCATCACGTATGACATTTTTTAATGGGGGGAAAAAAAAGGCCTGAATTCCAAATAGCTTTTTAAAAAATGACTATTTGATGCATGAAGACAGGAAGTACTTGATAAAGTCAAATGGAATGTGTATTTCTTGGCTCCAAAGTCAGAAGGACAACTGAAAGGAGGGAAACTCTTTGGTTCACAAAGCCACATGCAGATCCCCTCCATGTGCCATGTGTAAGAAGTGGGGTTTGGCAGGCAGCTCCTGCAGGCACTTAATGTCTCAGCCACTGTGACTGTAACTAAACACAGCTGTTTCTTTCCTCAATTTTAGTTAATGAAGACATTTCTACCACGTGGCATTTGCTCTGTACGTACTTGTAACAAAAGTCACTACCACACTTTCTTCTTTTGACTATTGGCCCAACATGAGTGAATGGAGACTATTCCCCTTAAGAGGCTGAATTCAAGAAACTTCTGCCTGATGTAAAGCAACTTGAATGGACAGTTGGGACTTTGCTGACAAACCAGTAAATCTCGTACGCCTAAGGTTTCCAAGTCTCTTCCAAAAAGGAATACACTCCAGAGTTTCTGCAGAGATTTATAAAGGGTGGCCTAAGCAAACTCTTCTTTGGTATACCTGAGTAACTTTTTTCTAGAAAGGTGTCAGAAATAGACCAGTCAATAGTCACTTATGTAAAGCTGCTGTTTAAGAATAGCTCTTTAGGTATTATGAAAGAATTCAAACCTAAGAATCCAAGGCTCTCAAGCACCTCTTCTATCCAATGTCAACAGGAATAAAGTAACACACATGAAGGATTGAAATAACTCAATTTCCTGGATATATCTGGATTGTTTTAGCCTTGCAGAAGTCAGTGGGCCTTGCAGACAGAGGAACTGTCCACACCATTGGTAAAAGCTGGCAGACTTAGGAATGGGAGAAAAAAAGAAACAATTCACAAGCAAAACCAGTCTGTGAATAGACAAAGACCAGTCCCTCCTGAGTGAAAGGCAGATTCCTATCAGATCACCCCAGAGGATCAGGGTAAAAATCTCTCTGTAGAGTGTAAGACTTAGAACAACTTTTTGGCTTATTCTCAAGGTTTCTGGATTTCTTTCTAAGGCTTTAAACTCTGCTACTATGTTAAGTGATTTTTAGATACCCAACTGGCTGGCAGACTGCCAATGCAATGAGGACATGGAAGACCCCACTTCATCAGGCTCCCGTGGCCTTGCACCAGCCCCCCACCCAACGCATCTGAGAGTTCCTCTCACATCCAAAATTACAGAGTTCATCAAGGAGTCACATTTTCCTCTCACAAAGATATGTTTCTCAGCAGTCTGGAAGGTGAGGTCCTCTGCAGCTCCCACGGTGGCAATGGAACCTGAGCAGTGGCTTCAGATACGCAACAGACCCTCTCCCACCCCCTATTCCTCTGGACTAAAGGAAACTATTTGAAATGCTATCTTCTGAGTTTCTTATCTGGCTACAGGGGAAGCAATAGCTTCTCTAGTAGAAAGAGATGCTGGATTTGCCTCCAGGTGGATTCAGGACTTTGTTGTGAGATCGAGGCCGTGGGCCCAACCTGGGCTCATGGCTGTCAACAGTGGGCGTGGGCTGGGGCTCCTGAGCACGGTCTGCTGCTTCTCTTGGACCACCTTTCTCACCCAGCTCTTCTCTGGACAAGGTGCTTGTTGCAGCTGTGGAACAAAGTCAGCAAATGATCCCGTTAGAGGCTCCTCAATACCTGGATGGCCAAGCTGTGCACATAAAGTCTGCAACACAGACCAACTAGCAAGAAATGCATACTGTAATGGGAAAAGGGAGAAAAGCAAAGAGGAAGGCCTTCACTGTACCAAGAAGGCTCACTTATTATAAGCAGAGGCTATTCTTGAACTGGGCCTAAAGCTGGGGCTTAGTATAAGCAATCCTTGGTAAATTCCTCAGTAAGTTCAATACTTCTTTATATTGCTTGTTGGACTCTGTTTCCCTTTTTTTCACCTCAAGTATAAAAAGCAAACTATCTCAAAGTGAGAATTAAAAAAGAGGGAGGCGGCCTTAATTGGAGGCTCTATCAAGATGAGACAAGGTTTTCTGGCACCATTACTCTGGACTTCTTCAATGAATAAATTCCCATGTATCTTGGTCACCAATTGAGGGAAATGGTGACAAAAATGGGCAGAAATCAGTGCTCACAGTTGGCTTACAGAACCATGGTGGGATTAAGAGTCTGACAACTAACCCCACCATGGGAACAGCTCACTCCCTGGATGATGGATTATGGAGACACCAGCTCTCCCCACCGTGTCAAGCCTCACATTCTCTCTTCTCATCCTTCCTGTCCTGCTCTGCTTATGCCCTTCTTTTTGACCTTAGTTCTGCTGGTTCTATCCTCAGCCACAAGTATGTTAGAGACTTTGGATCTCTGCCCTTCCCTACACAAGATCAGCTTCTAAAACAGGAAACCTTGGTCTTAGGCCTAGGCTAATAATGACAAGAAGTGAAGGAAAATCAATGGTGACCAGTTAAAAAGCTTTCATCAGAAATAACCTAGCCCTCCCTCCTAGAGGGAGGGGGCAGGGGAAGTGGTGGGGGGAAGGCAGAGACAAATGTATTTGGAAAAATAAATTAATTAAAATAAATAATAAAATTGTATTATTATAAAAAAGACAAAAAGTGCATTAAATGTTTTCAAATCTTAAAAAAAGAAAAAAGGAACTAACCTAGCCCATCTCCCTGGACTTTTTCAAATGCTCAATCCTCTTGTCAATAAACACAACCTTGTTGGTTTTTCTCAGCAAGAGGCACAGGAGTATTCTCTCTCACCCTCTGGGGTGCACCAGCAACTTTTCCAGAGTGAGAGCATTCAGAGGAAGAGACAGGAACAGAAGCTCACCTTTAAGGTCCAATTTTGGGTCTTCTTCACATAAGAGCACGTGGTCCTGCAACAAGGCAAACCCCAGGTCAATATGTGATTCAGAAACTTTTAACCCTCATTCAGAAGAATGATGAAAATTAAGGCATGGACGGATGACTTCGGTTCATTTTTAACTTCTAAAAATGATTTTATTTCAATCAATTTAAACCATGAACAAAGCAGCACCATGAACTCCCTCATAACCCACTGTATAGCAACAATGACATCACCTCATGCCATCCTCGTCTCAGCCACACAGTTCTCCCAATTTCAATCCCTCCATTTCTTTGTGGAGTTATTTTAAAGCAAATTCCAGAAATTTCATTAACTCATTTAACAAATAATTCAAGATGTGGCCTTAAAAAAAACACATTTTCACAGCTGCAAAAATTAAGGCTTCCTTAAATATCTAACATTTAGTCAAATTTTAGAACATTAGGATATGTTCTCAAGGCTCACCCATGTTGGAGCATGTATTACAAATGCCATTCCTTTTTATGGCTGAATATCCCATTACATGTGTAGTACATAGCACATTCTGTTTATCCATTCCTCTGTTGGTTGACACTGTAAGTAATGCTATTAAAATAGGTGTACAAGTATTTGAGTTCCTGTTTTCAAAATTTGGGGATATATATCTAAGAGTGGAATAGCTGAATCATATGGTAAATTCTATGTTTAACTTTTTCAGAAACTGTCAAACTGTTTTCCACAATGGCTGCACTATTTTACATTCTCGACAGCAATGTATGAGGGTTTCAATTTCTCCATATCCTGGCCAAAAAATAACATTTGTTGTTTTTTTTTTTCAAGGCCCATTTAATATCAAGAATGTGATACAAGAATCAAGATGGTGGAGGAGTGAGTGGAAGTCACACTGACCTCCTCCCAGGACTAATCTGAAATTACAACTAAATTGTGGAGAAATCACCTGGAACAAACAGCTGACCAAGAGCAGGCGAGGAGCCTTATAACCTCGGACTGACAGAAGCCCAACTTTAGCACAACCTAACTGGTAAGGAGTGCGGTAGAGACTTGAGAAGGCAGGCAGGTCGCCCATGTGTGGCAGCGCCAGAAGGATATTGAAATAGTCAGTTAGATCCTGTTGAAAAGAGTGGGGTCTAAATCATAAGCAGGGATCTCCAGCCTACAGCATCGGAGCCCAAAAAGAGCACAGATAACAGCCAGCTGCAAAAAGCGGCAGAGTTGCTCTCTGCCAGAGACAGGCAGCTGGAGACGTAAAGAGCCATTTAAAGGGCCAACGCATAAATTTTTATTTGCAGCCACTTACCCTGGTCTTCGGCAAAGGTGGGGGCAGAGTGGGCTAGAGATGCCTGAGGAGACTGGGAAAGGAGGCTTTGGGGAGAGAATGGAGCGAGTAGCCAGGGGGATCCCAGTGCTGACTCCTCCCCCATGTGGCAGCAGCCAAGTGGCTCAGGCAGACCATTCCCCTGAGCAGCAGCAGCCGTAAGAGGACCCAATAACCTTGCCCCCACCCCCGGAAGGACTCTGCCCTGCCCTGTGGTGTCTAGGATGGTCTGCTGAGTGCAGAGTGACTAGATTAACAGCTGAAGGGGACAGCCACAGAGAGAAAAATCCTGGAAGTCTTGAACAGACTGCCTAAGGTCAGAGAGGGTCAACATCTGACATCATCAGAGGCAGATCCAGATTGAAAAAAACAGTGGTCTCCTACCACAGAAGTTCATACCACAAAGTCAGGAAATCAGGACAGATCAATTTAAGAAGTGGAAGCAAAAAAGAAGAGTCTCACAAATAATGGGAAGACAAAGAAACACATCCCAGTTGAAGGGAAAGGAGGAATCCCCAGAAAGAGAAATAAATGAAATTTATTTCTACGAGGAACTTGCTGCAAATTATATCAGCATGAAAAAGGACATAGAAACTATCAGTAAAAGGCAAGAAGAAATGAAGAATACAATTTCTGAATTGAAGAACACAACAGAAGGAATCAAAAGCAAGCTAGATGAAGCAGAGGAATGAATCAGTGAGCTGGAGGTTAATGTACAAAAAAGCTCCCAGAAAGAGCAAGAAAAAGAAAAGACTCAAAAAGAATGAAGAGGCGTTTAGGGAAATGCAGGACAACCTGAAACGTAATAGTATCTATATAATAGGGATATCAGAAGGAGAAGAGGAGGAGCAAGGGATAGAGAACCTGCTCGAAAATTAATGATGGAAAACTTCCCTAATTTGAAGAGAGCAAGTCACACAAGTCCAGGAAGCACCAGAAGAACCTAGTGAGTATGAAGGTCCCATTCTAGAGGAACCCAATGAAGCCCACTCCAAGATACATTATCATTAAAATGGCAAATATCAAAGACAAACAGAGAATCCTAAAGGCAACAAGGGAGCCCCAGTACGGCTAGCAGCTGACTTCTTAACAGAAACACTATAAGCCAGAAGGGAATGGCAAGAAATATTCCAAGTCATGAAAAGCAAAGGCCTGCAACCAAGGCTACTCTACCCAGCAAGGCTCTCAATTAAAATGGAAGGTGAAATAAGGAGTTTCCCAGACAAAAGAAGGTTAAAGGAATACACCTCCACCAAACCAGCACTGCTAAATATGCTAAAGGGACTGCTTTAAGAAGATGAAGAGAGTCTATGAATACCCAATTACTTTCAGTCACCAATAGTTGATATTACCAATATTTTAAAATATGTATTAATCTGATTGTGACAATGATGTTATTTTAATTACTTTATTATTTGTTGAAACTAAACCTGTTTTTGTATGTTTCTTGCCTATTTCTATGATTTTTAAACAGCTTTAAATGACTTTTTTGTATTCTTTATCCATTTTTTGATTGTTTGTAGAATTTTTTCCCTAAAAAAACCCCCAAAAACGATTAACCCTTTTTCAGATGTGTTGCAAATACTTTCCTATTCTATTCCTTGTCCTTTAACTTTCTTTATATGTATGTTACTGTGTAGTCTTAAATGTTTAATATAGCCATATTGTCAATATTTTACTTTATAGCTTCTGGGTTTGAATATCTTACTTCAGGGTAAGAAAAATATTATTTTGTATTTTCTCTTAAAACTCCTTAGATTTTACATATTGATTTTTAATTCACCTGAATACTTTTTGTATAGCATGTGAAATAGGGCTACTTGTTTTTTTATTTCAAGTAATTGTTGTCCATGCACCTTATTTGTTGAATAAGCCTTATTTTCCCCATTGATTTGAAATATCAATTTAATCTATATATATATATACTTTTTTTTTAGAATGCTCATTTTATTTCTCTGATCTACTTATTTCTGTGTTGGTGTCATGTTGTTTTAATTGCTAAGACTTTATAATGGATTTAATTTTTTTAATACTTTATAATGGATTTGACATTTAACAAATAAGTAAATAAATCTGCATTAAAAAAAAGGAAAATGAAAGAATTCCTACCTTTATTGACAACATGGATGGAACTGGAGAATATTATGCTAAGTGAAATCTATTCAACAAAATAAACTATAGGCATGGAAACATGGAGCAGACTGAAAGTGACCAAAGGGGATGGGGAAGGAAGACAATGGTGGAAAGAAGGGGAGGGGACTAAACAAATAACATGTATGAATGACCCATGGACATGGACAACAGAGGGGGAACTGACTGCGGGAGTGGGGGGTGGGGGAGGGATGGGTGGAGGAGGGCAAAGGGGGAAAAACTGAGACAACTGTAATAGAATAAACATGATTTAAAAATAAAAAATTAAAAAAAAAACTGTGATACCGAAGATACAAACACAATGATGGAACATATTCCCTCATTTATATCAATGACAATGCTCTTTCAACATGTGCCTGTTGAATGGAATGGGGATTTAATAAATTTCACTACTAAAAAAATAACAGCGAGTCTCATCACAGCCAATACCCTTATACAATCTAGTTGTGAAAAATGCTAGAATGTTTATAATGCTTCAGTTTGAACCTGAAGTTTGATACCACACCTTCATGTCTATTTAGTCCTAGGTAAGATTATCTACAGTATTAGAAACCATTCAAAAAACAAATCATTAATTAAAACCACATTGATTTAAGGCTCATTCAAGTAGAGCTCCAAACTAAATGGTTAAATATATGAACTACCTGAACTGATACCTATTATTTGACTCTCTTATACCTACTGTTTCTTGGCAAATAAACCCTTTAAAGGCAAAATTCACTTATCTCAGTTTTGACCAAGAAGTCCAAGAACAATCATGAAGTCCACAGTCTACTGGCAAAACTTACACACAGTGCCTCTAAGTCACCATGCTCAATGTTAAGAGTGATGCATATTCCATTTTTACATTTTACTGGAATTTTACATGTTCAATTCATGATTTTAAGTCTCTAGTTTTCATTCCTCCAAACTGCCTGAAGACCCAGTGTGCCACAGACTTAAGAACTGTTTCTTCCTCTTTCTTCAAACAGAAACATTTCTCAAGTGTCTACACACTCTAGAAGAATTTTTTGGAGATGGCCACTTCCTTGTAATTGTCCAACATGATCAGAGCTCTGAAGCAAGGGGCAGGGGAAGAGAAAAAACTTGAAATACAAGATTCATCTTGTAAGTTTTACATTAACCATTAAAGCTGGATAGTGTAAGAATGTGGCTTTTTTTTGGCTCATAAAGTCTGAGTCTTGGTATGGAAATGAGTACTTGGCTGTCCCAACACTGCTTTCTCATAGTGGGACTGTCAGGGAAGTCTTGACTGGGGAGTATAATTTGTTTACCTATTAGGTATAAACTTCTAGGCACTCAGTTCATTTTTGGGCTTCTTCCAGGTTGTCTTTAGTCTCTCTCAGTTCACCTTTCAGTTTTAGAAGAAACAAGCTGATCACAGGTCAACCATTGTTGATCTTTGTTCGGCAACACTGGGCGGCTGGACTTGCTTGAGGTGCTGTATTTGAGTAGTACACTCTTGCACTACAAGGATGTTTTCCCTGCATGCAGACCTTGCTGTTGTTACTTTAGTTTTTCTTCCAACTCCCTTAAGCCAGTTACATCATTAGAGAGTTTGGTTCTGTGTACATGCCCTCCAAAGCTTGCACATGTGCTTCATACTGTTTCTATCTTAAAACTAACTCACTTCAGTGTCATAACTTTGAAGACTGTCTCACTCAGTCGAACCTTTTTGGGAAGAGGTTCCTCACTGGTCATCTTAAATCCTGTTGTGTCTCGAGGCAGCCACAGCCACCTGACCACCACTGGCACCACTGTGGGGAGGAAGGGCAAAGGGAGGAGGCAGACCAGGGGTCTCCAGGTGCCAGGGAGGACCTGAACTCAGGTGCCAACTCTCCTGCAGCCAGAGCACACCGGCAAGCGGTGTGCTCCCCAGGAGCTGGGTCAGCTGAAAGGCATTGTGGGAAAGGCGTTATTTTTCCCGATAATAGTCATCCTAGTGAGTGTGAAGTACTTCACACTTTGTGGTTTTTCATGTGCCTTTCCCTAATGACTATTAAGATTGAGCATCTTTTCATGTGCTGATTGAAGAAATGTCTCTTCAAGTTCTTTGCCTACTTTTGAATTGGGCTGCCTTTTTGTTGTTTTTTTGTAGGAATTCGTTATATATTCTGGATAGCAAACTTTAATCAGATTTGTGATTTCAAATATTCTATGGATTGTGTTTTCATTCTCTCAGTAGTCTTTTTTAAAAATTTATTTTTTAATTCCAGTTGATATACATCAGTTTCAGGTGTACAACATAGTGATTAGACATTTATCATTTCCTACCTTATGAAGTAATCACCCCTGTAAGTCTACTACCCATCTGACACCATACACAGTTATTATAACATTGCTGACTATAAGCTCTATGTTGTACTTTATTTCCCCATGGCTATTTTTATAACTGGCAATTTGTACGTCTTAATCCCTTTTACCTTTTTCACCCAGCACCCCAACCCCACTCCTATCTGGCAACCATCAATTTGTTCTTTGTATCTGTAAGTTTGCTTGCTTTGTTCATTTTACTTTGTTATTTTTCTAAATTCCACAAAGAAGTGAAATGGCATGGTATTTTTCTGTTTGACTTATTTCACTAAGCGTAATACCTTCTGGGTTCATACTGCCGCAAATGGCAAGATTTCATTCTTTTTTATGGGTAAGTAATAATTCCATTGTATAAATGTGTATCTTCTTTATTCATTTAAAAGGATACTAAGGTTGCTTCCATATCTTGGCTACTACAAATAATGCTGCGTTGTTGGTACCTTTTGATGTACAAAAGTTTTTCATTTTAATGAAGCCCCATTTATTTATTTAAAACTTTGTTGCCTGTGTTTTTGGTGTCATATTTAAGAAACCACTGTCAAATCATTATAAAGACTTGTCCCTAAAGTTTTTCTTACAAATTTTATAGTTTTAGCCCTTAAATGTAGGTCTTTGACCCATTTTTAGTTTTTATATACGGTGTAAGGTAAGGGTGCACTTTCACTTTTTTTGCATGTGTCTATCCACTTTTCCCAGCATCATCTTTTGAAGAGACTATTTCCCCCCCCCATGAATGATCTTGGCACCCTTGTGGACATACCAATTCACCAGAAATGTGAGAATTTCTTTCTTGGTTCTCAATTCTATTCCAATGGACTACGTGTCTATCTTTATGCCCGTGCCACACGGTTTTGATTACTGTAGTAAGTTCTGAAATTGGAAAGACTCTCCAACTTTGTTCTTCATTTTCTAGATTTTTTTGGCTATTAGTGGTCCATTGAGATTCCATATGAATTTTAAAATGGGTCTTCCTATTTTTTTTTTTTTTAAAAGCATTGTTGGGACTTTGATAGGGACTGCATTCTTAAGTATTTTTTAAAAGATTGAACATCCCCCCTCTCTGCCATGTAATTTCCTATATTTTGGATAACTCTGATTGAATCCCTGTCGTGCTGATTAAATGAGGTTTGTTTTGATTCAGGCCTGTTTTTTTTTTTTTTTGATAAGAATTCAAAGGTAGTCCATGATGGCCCTCTGTTATGGGACCCATAGTTTTTGGTCTGTCTCTTGTTGGGAGCGACTGATGACCACTGCCAACATCCGCAATTTCATTACAAGTCTGCAAAATGGTGCTATCTGAATTCTGATATTCCTTCTTCATTCATAGGCTGGAGTACTTTTATAAAAAGCAACTTTCCCTGTAAAGACTGTTATCCTAAGGTATAGTTCATGCAGGAAACACTGTCTAAATGCTTTATTCTATCCTTGAGCAGTTTTCATAATCAACTGGTCTTCTGGAATTCTCCAAAGGTGACAAATAAGATTTAAAAAAGTATAATTAGGGAACCCATGAATTCTGAATACTTGGTGAACTTTAATCTAATGCAGTTGTACTTATTAATGACCACTAAAAACTGACATTTCTGTGAAATGTGAACTATTCTTTTGTATGTTTAATTTTACAACTATTCTTACCATCCCACAGTGATGTGCAGAGAACAGCAGCCTGAGTGCAGTGGGCAGTCGCTGCTACCCACACACTAAGACCAGCTTCCCCCAGAGCTCAGTCATCAAGAGGGTGGAATTTATTTCTCTGGTGACTCAGAGGAGCTTCAAAACTCAATTACTAATGACTGTACCCAGAAAAATCATCACTCTTCTTGTCTCTTCCTAATAACATGTCAAAGCTGACTCAAAGCTTTTGAAAAAAAGAACTGGCTCAATGTTTGCTTTTCTTACTTTCATGTCTGCTATGTGAATGTAGTCCATACCTTGGGTTTGTTTGGGTGTGCCAAGGGTAAAGTGGCAGTCACTGGCGACCCAAAAATGTCACTAGTCTTCCCACCAGGTGGGTTCAGACGCTGTGAAGTGTGCACAGGCGTTGATTCCTCAAAGATACCACTTCCTTTCCCCCCTGCGAAAACAATTATAGAATAGTGAGGAACCCACAACATCCATCCACTCCTGCCTTCCACATTCATTATTTCAGAGACCTCCTCTCACAGTAACACTCTAGTCCAGTCCTGAGTTCAGGCCAAAAGGCTGGGATGGTCAGAGTTCCTAAAGACCTACATCAAACCTAACCCCTCAACCAGGTGCCTGCTGGGGACTCCATTTCTGGAACTGAGCTCAACTGGGCCTGGCCTCCACAGGCAAGAGGCTTGAGATGCCATAAAACTATTTTCCGCCATAGAACTTCTTTAACCCTGAACCTTTCATGCTTCTTTTTTTAAAAATGAAGAATCTTCTTTATCAAACCCATGAAAAGTTCTTTAGTAGATTAAAAGCAAACAGCTTCTAAGTTTTTAGGTCAGACAGATAGAACTGAATAACATACTCTGTTACGGGCAAACCTGTAATTTGGAAAAATAATATTTAGTAGTCATTTTCTGACCTCATTCTGGCTGGAACTTCCAGGAACAACTAGGTATGTCATCAAATCACAGACATTTAATATCTTTGCTGCCAAGTATAAGTGATCTGATAAGCCATAATCAAAGTATGCATCTAAGCCCTGACTAATGTGGCTCAGTTAGTTGGGCACTGCCCTGCAGACTGAAAAGTTGCAGGTTCAATTCCCGGTCAGGGTACATGCCTGGGTTTCAGGTTTGGTCCCCAGTTGGGGTACGTAGAAGGGGCAACTGACTGATGCTTCCCACAGTGCTGTTTCTCCCTCTCACTGGAATCAATAAAAGAAAAAAAAATACATCTAAGATGTAACTTCTTATCTTATGAGGAGATGACTAAGGCTTGGACATGGAAGGCCAATGTTTAAATGCCTCACCGACAGATCATCTCTTCCTCACTCAGCAAACACTAAGCACGCACCTCCTTTCCACACAGCGCTATGCTAAGTGGAGGGGGCCCATTATGATTATGGCTATGGTGCACCAACAATTTATCTTAAAGGAATAAAAAAGGTACATTCCACTAACTAGTTACAGGACTGTACACAAGTTACTCCGCCATTCTATACCCCAATAAAAGGAACTTCTTTGCAGCACTATGAGAAGATTACTGTGGCTCATATGTCAAATGCTTAGAACAATGCCCAGGACATAAATGCTCAATAAATGTTGGCCGTATTTTCTATGTCCTGAATGTACCGTTCAGTGAGAAAGGGTGCAAAACAATCTATATAATACACAATGACAATGTAAAAGAAGGTGTTGTTCTTTTTTGCTCATATCTGAAGAAGGAAAAATGGTTACAGTCGCTTAGCTATAATAACTCATACCGTTTTGACACAGGCCACGAACCCTTAAGAACAATATGGACGACGAGAGCTCTGTGTGAGGGGAGTAGGCTCCACCAGGGAACCTGTTCTCTCGATAGCCTTCAGACCACCGCTGCTAGAATGGATTCTAAAGCAGACTGGCTTCCAGGATGCCAGTCTTCTAGGGGGGACATAAGAATCACAGAACACAGAAAGGAATGACTGGACTGGGGTGCCCTGACTTTTTCAGGTGGGTGAACACAGAATATGTAGGACTGCTCTACAGGAGAATGTGCACACACACATTCATATAAAATTAGGGTGATTACAAACCTTCTGAACATTGGCTGTTGGCTATGGACATCCCAAGAAGCCATAAACCCCAAGCTGGAAACTCTTGGGCTGGGAAACCAGCACTGCATGGTGTTAAGGGCAGTTCATCTGTGGCCAGATGCTGGGTGAAGACCTTGCTCAAACAGTTACTCTGTGAGCCCAGATGAGTGACTTCAACCTTCTTTTGTCTCCACTTTCTCAACTCTAACAAGGTATAAATAATAATAATATCTTCCTAGGGTGGTTAGTGAGATACATGAGTTAATATACATGAAGTGGATAAGGCCTCAGTAATGCCGCTAGGCTGTTGTTATTCAGTGTGTTGTTAGCAAAAATGTCTAGACCACAAAGTGGAGAAAAACTACTGCATGAAGCCATCCCTTTACTGTATTGTTTCTGGTTATGCTTAAGTAAATTATTTTTTTACAGTGCACATTCACCTGTTTAAAAAATGGAAGATAAGCCCTGGCCAGGTGGCTCAGTTGGTTAGAGCATCACCCCGTACACCAAAAGGCTGCAGGTTAGATTTCCAGTCAGGGTGCATACAGGAGATGATCAATGCTTCTCTCTCTCACATTGATGGTTTTCTCTCTCTCTCTAAAATCAATAAATATATCCTTCGGTGAGGATTAAACAAAGGAAATAATAAAATAAAAAATGGAAGCTAAAAGTGACTCGATTTAAAAGTTTTTGCTAGGGGCATCGCTCATTTAAAAACATTTTTTAAATTGTAAATGTAACAGAAAAGTTCGTAAGACACAACTGTCACAAATAAAGCAAGCAAACACCCATGTAACTAAACTAGACTGCAGATGCTATCAGCCCCAGAAACCTGGGTATTTCTTCCCCATCACTCCAGGTCACCACATGCCTGAATTTTCTAGAAGCCAGAGACTTGTTTTTTCTCTTACAGTTTTAATGTCCAATCCTAAACAATATAGTTGTTTTTGAACTTTTTTTAAAGTAGTCACATTGCATGTCCATTACTCAATATTTTACCTGAAAGATAAATTCAGCTTTGAAGATGGAAGAGGTGCGCAATCCACCCACAATTGAAGAAAAATAAATTCAAAATATACTTTAAAAAAACAGGTTATTTATTTTTAGAGAGAGGGGAAAGGAGGGAGAGAGAGAGAGAAACATTAATATGTGGTTGCCTCTCACATGGCCCTTCCTGGGGACCTGGCCTGCAACCCAGGCATGTGCCCTGACTGGGAATTGAACCAGTGACCCTTTGGCTCGCAGGCTGGCACTCAGTCTGCTGAGTCACACCAGCCAGGGCTCGAGTTATGCTTTTTTAAGAACCAAATTGCAGCCCTGGCCAATGTGGCTCAATTAGTTGGAGTGCCACCCTGAAAACCAAAAGTTTATGGGTTCAATTCTCAGTTAGGTAACATCCGTAGGTTGTAGGTTCAGTCCACGTACTAGTCAGGACACACATGAGAGGCAACCAATCAGTTTCTCTTTCACATCGATGTTTCTCTCCCTCTCACTCCCTCCCTTTAAAAATCAATAAGCATGTCCACGGGTGAGGATTCAAAAAAAAATTGTAAAAGACAGGACAGTCTGGCCCTAGCCAAGTGGCTCAGTTGGTTGGCGTGTCATCCTATGCATCAAAAGGTTGCAGGTGCTATCCCTGGTTGAGGTGCATATGGAAGGCAACCAATCAATGTTTCTCTCTCTCTTTCTCTAAAATTAATATTAAAATATCTTTGGGTGAGGATTAAAAAAAAAGAGAAGACAGTATGGTGGTAGAGTGTGAGGAGCGGCATCACATACGTCATGGTGAGCACTGGCTACCCACAGAAGACTAATTGGAAATATCTATCATATTTTAAATCACCCAGCAATTCCATTTTGAGAAATTTAGCCCAAAAGATATCCTCAGGAGGTAAATCTGGTGCTCCAGAGTCAGGACAACCCATATGCAACGGCTAGCTCTGCTACCAATGAGCTGCGGGGCTTAGGCACACCAGGGAATCTCCATGCGCCTCAGTTTCCTTTTCTGTAAAGGGGGTAATACCACCTACCTCCTTAGGTTTGCAGAGAGAACCTAATAATACATGGAAAACATTTAGCACACTCCCTGGCCTATTATTAAACAAGCCACACATATCAATCTTGTTAGAGCACCAGAAAAAACTTGTGGATGATCTAAACCAGGTGACTAGCAAAGCACATGAATGAGGAACAAATGAAACACTGGGTGTGACAATACTTGGTAAATGTTCAGTGACTCACATAGTAAGTCACACACTCTGCCCTGCACACTTTTCTCAATCAGGCCCTCTTGATGGAGATTTGTGGGGCTAAGTCTGCAAGACTGAAAAAGAAATGAGGGCAGGAGTTTAGGCCTGAGGTTGGGGACATAGCTAGCAGTTTTCTGTTTCCGGCTTCCCTTGAGAATACATCACAGATAATTTTTAAAAATTTAAAAAAAAAAATTTATTTATTTATTTTCAGAGAGAGGGGAAGGGAGGGAGAAAGAGGAGAAAAACACTCATGTAGAAACATCAATTTCACATGCACCAAACCCGCAACCCAGGTACGTGTCCTGACCAGGAATCAAGCTGTCAACCCTTTCCTTTACAGGATGATGTCCAAGCAACTGAGCCACACCAGTTAGGGCCATCACAGATAATTTTAAAAACCACCTGGCAGGACCACAAGAGGCAGGAACTCAGCACAGGGAATCATGCTGTTGCTGATACACCTTGTAATTAACTGCACAACAGAGGCTTTCTCATTCTCCAGTCAAGAGGAGCCTAGGCTGCCCACTGGGCACTAGAGCTGGGGCATCATAACAGAAAAGTTCATAAGACATAACTATCACAAAAAAGAGAAAGCAAACACCCATGTAACTACCACCAGATCGTATAGATGCTACTGGCTCCCAGGTTCTGTACCCAAGTTGTCACACCTTCCAGGGAACTCAACACCCCATGGACAATGTACTCTGCTGAGTCAGGGCCAAGGGAGCGGGCTTGTCCACCTTCAGGTGCCTCAGATTTGATTCAATATGCCACGTGGCCCAATGTTATGCTATTGTTGGCACAAAGGATGTGCAAGGCTGACCACTCCTAGCCCTACACCCATAAACTGGATACAGTAAGAACATTACAAACTTAGTAAAACTACCCGCTTCTCTACTATAAATATATCTACACCAACTCCACACCCCCAACCAACCAAACACAACACTGGCTTTTGAATCTACTGCTTTCTTTCCCCTCTGGGTTTGGTCAAATACCAGGGGAAATCCAAAAAACCCTCACCATTATCTTCTAGAGGGTTGGTCCCTTGTAGTACAGGCATCCCCTGCTAAGTGAGTGTTCTAGGGACCCATCCGTATCAGTGCACCAGCTGGCATTGCTGTGAAAGGCTGCATTCAGCTTCAGTGAATTTTTTTTTTTTGAAGACTCAACGTGTTTGCCCATTTCATGATGGGTGAATTACAAGCATACCTGCCCAAAGCACACTGAGTGTTCAGCAGTTTTTGACCAAAAACAGCATGGCCCCCATGCCCTGCCCTCCCTATTCCCCTAATCTTGCTCTGAGCGACTTTTCTGTTTCCCCCAATGAAAACAGTCCTCAAAGGGAAAAGTTTTGCCGCTAGGAAGAGGTGAAACAAAAAAATGGCAGAAGCACTAAAAGGCATCAAAATTGACGAGGTCAAACATTGTTTTGAGCAGTGAAACAAATGTCTCAATAGGTGTACTGCATCAAAAGGAAGATATTTTAAAGGCTCTGATGGTGACTGAAGTTGAAACATGTAAGAATAAACACACATTTTAAAAAATTCCTATCTTTTGCTGTCCCCCCTCGCATGTATATCTGTCCAAAAGTAAAAAAATAAAAATATGTGTACCCAGAATTGAAGTGGAGTGGCAAGCAGTCCTAGCTCTGGTTCTGATTTTACTGCTTGTCTGAAATACTGATTCCTATGTCTGGTCTCTCAAATTTTTAAGGATGGGATGAACCTTGCTTCTCCTCATGGATGTAGACAGGGGGGAACTTTTCAGGTAACTAGCACTGTATGGTCACTCAACTGGACAGTCTATCAGTCAAGGAAAACATTGTTCTAGATTCTCTTCTATTGTAACCACCAGAATGTAGGGTAAGAACTATGTGGATGTGTGCTAGACCAAGTCTTCCTTTTTTAGTTTCATTCCCATCAACAAGATGATTAAAAGTTTCCTTCCTAAGAAAAATGTTTACATTTTTGAGTAATCTGTACACAATCTTAGGAATCTCAAGAGTCCACGGGACAACTGGGAAAGTCTCCCTAGCAGGAGTCTTTGCATCCTCAGAACCTACACCCAGTCAATGTCTGTTGACAGAGAGGGACAATTCAAGAATGATCGAGTCACCTTCAATTTAAAGGTCAGGAAAAATCCTTCCTCACATTCCAGAACTCTGATGGCAAGGGATAACTTGTACCAGAAAATACGTGAAAGGATCAATCCATCTACTGATCTACCTACCTACCTATCTATGGAAATTTTATCAAAAGAGCAGCTAAAAAAGAACAGGCAGAGGCCAAAGGACAAATGAGTCACAAAGGCCAGTACCTGGGGGGTTGGTTCTCTTAGGAATGTTCTGAGGTTCTTCAGTTGGTCCAAAAATATTTGATGCCATCCTGTTGGGTCGGCTTGAAGGCACACCTTCTTCTGGACTTCCGAAAAGATCACTCGATGCTCCTCCCGGAGGCTTCATGGCCCTGCAAGCACAGAGCAAGCATGAGTGATGGATGGCTGACCTGAATCTCGATGCCCATAACTAGACAGGGCATGTGTACTTTCTTTTTTTAAAATTTATGCTCACCCAAGGATATGTTTTTATTGATTTTACAGAGAAGGAAATGGAGTGTGAGAGACCAAGAGAAACATCTATCAGTTGCTTCCTATACACGCTTCACCTAGGGATCGAACCCTCAACCTCTCGGTGTATGGGATGACGGCCTAACCAAGTGAGCCACCTGGCCAGGGCCACATGTACTTTCATACATGTGTCTATGGAAAAATTCCACACTAGCATGACTAGTTTATAGACGGCCACACGGCAAACTTCCTTTACTGCCCTCAAGTTTTCTTTGTATGTCTTGGTTATGTGAAAAACCTCTTGAAATGTGTATATTTTGAAATTATTGCTGGGACCTCTTATAAGTAAGTTAAAGTTTCCCTACAGGCAAGTTGAGCCGTATAGAATTTAATACAAATTTTAATTATCACACATAGTGTTCAATACTATAAACACATAACATGGTGTTTAATACTGTGCCTTACCATATGCCAGCTACAGTTTTAAAAGACCTTACACAACAGCCCTCTATGGCAGGAATTATTTTCACAGATCATGAATCTGAAATAGAGAGAAAGCATGAGACAGGCCACACAAAGAGTAGCAGAGCTAGGATCCAAGCCCAGGCAGCCTGGATCTAGAACTCAAACTATGTCCCACTGTCACTCTTAAAGGCCTCCAGGAAATAATGAGGGGGAAGCTCACCATGTAACCACAAATCAAGTCTGATCCACAGAGCTGAGTCTTCAGAAGGGCAGCCACTGGCCACTGTGGGCACTTGGATATGGATGGACTCAGATGTGCTACAATTGTAGACTACACATCAGATTTCAAAGACAAAAAGGCAAAATTTCTCTTTGTCTTTTATACTGTTCACATGTTGAAATAGTATTGTGTACATAATAGTTTAAATTATATTAAAATCACTTCTTCCTGTTTCTTTTTACTTTTTAAAATGGGCCTACTAGAAAGTTTAATATTCCTTATGTGGCTCACATTTCTATTGGAAAGTGTCAGCTTAGACGATGGGGAGTGCCAACATTAATCCGGGGAAGTCCTGAGAATCTACACCAGGATAATCATCTCCACTTAAGTCTGTTATAACCAGTGAGATGCTGAACATCAGAAATCAGAGAACACACCTGCCAGCACCACTGTTCATTTCAGATCAATGCATTATCCACCAAGTGTCATCTTTAAAACACACCAACCTTCTATGAGGGTTGATTCTAATTAAACAGCTATGGACAACAGTGGCATCCCCACTGCTCAGACAACAGCAGCAGTATCTACCTGAAGTCTCCATCCTTGGGAAGCTGACACGCACAACTTGGAGGTTTTAAAGTGGACATTTCAGAAGAGAAAGATCAGGACTTTGAGTCATTACTGCAATAACTAAAGAATTCAATTTTCACAAAGCCCTGCCCTGATACCCCAAGTGTGTCTACTTTCACAAAGCAGTAGCACAATGAATTTATAGCATATTTTTAGAACACTAGGAAGATTATTAAAATGATCTTAGAGAGGGGGACCTACTGAAATTGAGTTTTAAACTGGCGAGTGGCCCAGGCTCTTTCACTAGTCCTAGGCAACAGTGACATTTAGAAATAGACGGAATTGCAGAGGTCAGCAACACAGGAAAGCTCTGATTCCAGGTTAAGCCTCACTGGAAAGCTATACAAACACTATCAAAGATTTAGTTTACAAAAATAATAGGATATTTAAAATGTTTCCTCAAAAGGGCTAGGATGGGAGCTGATCACTCATTGTAATTTAAAGTGAACAGAGTTCTCAGATTCCATGGAGGTAAAGCAGGACTGCAGAAAGCACTCATCTGCTTTTCAGAGGGCAAACATGCCAGCCCTGGCCAGGCGAGAGACCAGCCAGCCAGTCAACACTACAGAAGCAGCCAAGGGCCCAACTGGCAGACCTTCCACGCAGGGCCCGAAGTACCTGTCTGCTCAGGAGGAAGGAGAAGGTGGCCGCCTGTTTAGCAGTTACGATTTCATTAAGGATTTAATGAAGAAATAGACATTACTTCTGCATGAAGGAAGAACATCTTAAAACTAATGAATAACTAGATTAAATTAGAAAAGACTGAATAGGACTTTAGATCATTCACTTTGATAATGGACACAGTGAGGCCATCTGACTCCCATACGCATTTATAAGTCACAGAGCCCTGGTCACAATGACAGCCTCTGTATTTTTCTGGACTAGCTACAGCAGGTCCAATATGCTTGGGTTTACAAAGCCATGTCTTTGAAAGAGGGAATGGGGACCTGCAATCTTCAGAGCTGAACTGAATTTAACACCAAGTCTCATGTTGTCATGAGTTAAAATTCCCACTTTACTGACTTATTTGAAACACAGCTTTTCTTTCAAACCTCAGGGTCCCACAAATTGTCAGGCCAGATTCAGGGTAGATTCATCTTGATTCAAAGCTCTCAGGATGCTTTCCTGACTCTCACATTCTACATTCCGGGATCTCCCAAGTCTCCTCAGCCTCTTGCCCTTGCTTCATCCAGTTCAACTCATGTTCGCTGAGCACCAATTGCTGGCATGTCTGTGCCAGGCCCTGCAGGTAGAAAGATGACTAAGAACAAGTCCTTGGCCTAGAGAAGCTTCAGGTTTACCGGGAAAACTAGAGTGGTGCATAGGTGATTTCAGTGGTCTAGGAGTGATGTGACAGAAGCACTGAATGTTACTGAAACTCCAAAGACATCCTTGGAGGAGAGGCCCAAATTGAAGTCTATGGTCTTAGTGACCAAAGGGTACCTTCGAGACACAGGAGGTAAGTCACAGCTATTTGAAATAATGACACGCTATTTTTAAGTGGTGGAAATACAGTGTTTATTCCATTATTCTCTGTACTTTTCTGAATTTTATTTTACTTTGAAAACAGGAGAAGGAAAAACTATTGGTGCCAAGAATGCTGCAGCAGATTCCTGTGCATAATAGCCAAGCAATCATTTCCAGCACAAAGGCAACGGGGTCCACAGCTACATGCGGCAGTAATAAAAATTGCACCAGCTGCCTCAACAGGGTCTCAAATAAATTGGACAAAGTTAAATAGACATTTTAATAAAAACAGAACCCACAACAATGGCTTAATGTGGCTCTACTCTCAGTTATCACTATGACACTAGTTTTGGGGAGGAGTTGGGAATACCAGTGAGCGGGCATTTCGGGGATGAAACCACATTGTGGGGCTGCTTCCCAGTTATTTTTTCATTTCAATATATTTCAACAGAGATATTCAAAACACAAAAGAGAAACTATGGGGCATGTGACAAGAATAAAAAGCACACACAGCTCAGGAACTATGTATGGCACAAGCAGAGAAAACAAGACCTAGCGGTGGGTCTCCACGTTCCTGACCTCCAAGATCTTGTCCGTGTCAGAAAAGCTTTTGGGGATTGGTTAGGTATGGAGAGAAACAGTGAAACAGACTTGGATTAAGTTCTTTACAAATAGCCTTGGCTGGGATGCTCAGTAAATTGGAGAATCATCCCCATAGGCCAAAATGTTGAGGGTTCAGTCCTTAGTGGGTGTGCGTGCAGGAGGCAACTGATTGATGTTTCTCTAACATCTATGTTTCTCAAATCAGTAAAAATGTATCCTCAGGGAAGGATCAAAAAAAAATTCTTTACAAATACATACCTGGGGTGTTCAACCTGTAGCCCACGGGCTGCATGCAGCCCAGGATGGCTGTGCATGCAGCCCACCACAAAACTGTAAACTTTACATGTTGCCGTGTATTTAGTATGTGGCTCAAGACAACTCTTCTTTCAGTGTGACCCAGAGACGCCAAAAGGTTGGACACCCCTGCCAGTTTAAAGGAAGGACCTTAGATTAATGATGGCTTTTATAGTTTAAAATCCCTTTAACACAAAATAATCAAGAAAATGAAAGATAAAGGTCTAAGAAAAGAAAATCTGGCTCGGTGATCCTATACCCACCACTTAGTTCCCCCCCTCCACAGCCTATTAAAGTGTAAACCCTACAATGCCTGTCTAGCTAGCTAATCAAGTCCTTTAAGAAGGTGGTCAAATGCAAAGCTTCCAGCAGATCCCAAGCAGAAGCTTCCAATTACATGTAATGATCCAGTTATGAAGACTTCTTTTTCCTTCATCAAAGTCTTGAAAGTAGACTTTTCTCCTTTTCATATCCTTTCCAAAAATGAACCTCCCTAAGAAGTGTAGAGAACTACCTTAAAGCACCAGCTCTGCAGCTAATGACTGTAGCTTGAAGTTACCATAAAATCAATGTTACTCACAGCGTTTATTCATAAACTCAACCAACATTTCCTGGGCATCCAGTGTCAGGCAGTGTAAACAACGAGGGGATATACTTAAGGGACACAACTGGAAAAGTGCTAGGAAGAGGCTGGTGTGCATTGTGCAGGACAGCAATTACCAGGCACAACTCAATTCATCCTGAGCACTCCAGGGGAAACTCCTGGCCTCCATCAGTATAGATTTAGATTCAAGTGTTTAGTATTCATTGTTCCCTGGTTTAATGGCTACTTAATTCTTTAGGCACATTAATGAATATCAACCTAACTCCACAAAATTTAAAGGTTTTTAAGCAAGTTTAAACAATTCTTTTATTTAGTATCTAGTACACAGTATTTATCTTAACAGTCTTCTTACATGCCGTCTCTTCTACGGAAGAGGTCTTAACTAAAGAAACTCTTAGACATCTTAAGACCCAAAATTCTATAGTGCAAGCAGGCTCCCCAGTGGCGTGACAGACCTTGGCAGCTCTATCTTACTTCTAATATACAGAGCACCTTAAAGTTAAAAAGAAAGTGTGCTCTTTTTCATGGCGTCTCTGAGGTGGTCAGCTGCTTCAAGATGAAGCTGAACACCTCCCTCCCAGCCACTGACTGCTAGAAATTCATTGAAGTGGACAATGAGCACAAACTTCATCCTTTTTATGAGAACCTTGGGGCCACAGAAGTTGCTGCTGGTGCTCTGGGTAAAGAATGGAAAGGTTATGTGGTTCAAAACAGTGGAAGGAATGACAAACAAGGTTCCCCCAAGAAGCAGGGTGTCTTGACCCATGGCTGTGTCCACAGGCTGCTAAGGGGCATTCCTGTCATAGACCAAGGAGGACTGGAGAGCGACAGTGCCAGTCTGTTCGGGGTTGCATTGTGGATGTCAATCTTAGTGTTCTAAACTTGGTCATTTAATAAAGGGGAGAAAGATATTCCTGGTTTCACTGATACTACTGTGCCTCATCACCTGGGGCCCAAAAGAGCAAGAAGACTCCACAAACTTTTCAACCTGTCTAAAGATGATGTCTGCCAACATGTTGTGAGAAAGCCCCTAAACAAAGAAGAAACCTAGGACCAAAGCACCTAAGATGCGGCGTCTTGTGACTCCACATGTCCTGCAATGAACTAAGAAAAATAAGAGGCTGCAAACTTTTGGCTAAGAGGATGAAGGCGGCAAAGAAAAACGCCACGAACAGATTGCCAAAAGATGTAGGCTGTCCTCTTTGAGAGCTACCTCTGAGTCAAGTGAAAAAATGAAGTTTTCTAAGAACAAATAAGATTTAAAAGAAAGGAAGGAATGGAGGGAGGGAGGGGAGGGACAGGGGGAAGGGAGGAAGGCAGGAAGGCAGGAAGGCAGGAAAGAAGGAAGGAGAGAGAAAGCATGCTGGGGTGTGCAATGAGATCTCCATTTCTATTACTTAAAATGCGGCCTGGTTCACCGTCACCAAAGCAGGGAGGGCAGACCCCTGCCTGCTTCCTGGGCTGCGGTACTAGGGAAGGGCAATAACTATATCCCAGAGCTGTGGGCTCACGACAGTGGCACAGCCTGGCTCCTGGGCTGGGGGACTTAGGGTCAGCACCACCAACCTCCCAGGGCCGCAGGATTAGGGGAGGGTTCCACCTGGCTACACAGGGCTTCGAAATTAGGGGAGGGCTCCAAAAAGATGCGAGATTAAGGAGGACTGCAGAATGGTGACCTTCCCTGGGGCCATCCACAAGCGCGCCAGGCGCCAACAGAGGCTCCAGGACGGCGCCCCGCAGCCCCCAACACACCCGCCTTGTCCGGGCTCCCGGGACTACCCGCCCCGAAGTAGCAGACCATTCTGCCGACGTATTTCGGGCGCGCTACGGACGAAAAATGCGGAAAGGCGCACCTCCAGCCCTCAGCCGAGACGCTGGCGGGCGCGGGAGCACGTCCGCTCGTTCGCCCGTCTCTCCGATGCGGAGGCTGAAGCCGCGGCTCTGTGAGGTCACCCGCCAGCCTCCCCGCCGGCCGCGCCCGAACCCACGCCCGCGCTGCACCTGGAGCCGGCTCGGCCGCCCTCGCTCTCCGGAATGTGAAACATGTCTCCTGCTGCTCGGCGCCCCGTCGCCTGCCGCACCGCAGTTCCCGCCAGGCCCCGCGCAGCCCAAGGCTCGCCCGCCAGCGCCTATTGGACGATGCCAACGCTAGTCACGCCACCGCACCCTATCACGGCACCGAGCCCCACCCCCATCCCAAGACCCGAAGGCTTGTAGATGGCCACGCTCTCAGCCGATTGGTGGAAGCAGGTGCCGCTGATAGCATCAGGCACCAGCATTGGGCAGGAGGCCGACAGAGGCGGGCTGCCGCTGGTGGGGGCGGGGGCATGACGTCGGCCTTTGCACCTAGCGGCCTGGGCTGAGGCCCCACCTCACCTTCTCCCAAAGCTTTTCACCCGGAATCGCTTCCTGAGTGGGAGCGGGCACTACCCTACCGACAGCCAAGAGGGAGGCCTAACACGCGCCCTGGGGAACCAGACACGCGGGCAAGAGGAGAGGAAGGCCAAGTCTAGACTTTTCTTAGACGTCAACCGCTTCCCCAAGGCCAATGACTAGCTGTTTCTTCTGAAGGAATAATGGAAGTTATCTGTGAGGAGACTGAATTTTGCTAACGAGTCAAATGGCAGGTCCAGTGGTTGGCAAAAAATCAACCAACGCTAATCTGAATTATCTGTTCGGGGATTCGGCAGTTCCTGCCCTTCGGAGTCCTGGAGAGCCTCAAAGTCATCATCATAAATATGAAACAAGTAAAGTGCGCCAGTTCCCTCTGGCTCCAAAATAAAACTAAAACATAGTCGGCAGTGTTCTGTTACTAAATTACACTGCGGACAGCCCTTCTGTTCTTCTGAGAGCTCACCAAACAAATGAAAAGCCACTTTAACTGTTTGTAAAGTACACTTAAAAAAAGAGGCAGAAACAAAAATTAGATCAAGTATTAGTATGTATTTATGCACAATAATAAAAACAGATTTACAAGTTAAACTGGAAATTTAAACATAAGAAGTTTAACAGCTTTTTGTTTATTATATTAAATAACCAAAACACCTTTTATTCCCAAAATTGGTAAAGAATAAATAATGTAATTTACAATATGGTACAAAAAGTAATCAGGAAGGACAGGCATTCTGCTTTATACATATACTGTATATGTATATTTATTATCTATAAAACAAATTCACATCTCAAACAAGCCGAAAACCTTAGATGATATGGCTTAACGATTATTTAAAAGAAACAGCAGTAAGTTCCGCTGCCCAGACAAGAAGCTCTGGAGCCAGTTATCCTGTTACAGAACAAAGGGTACAGGTTGTTGTAGTGCTTTCCAAGCCTGAACTTACTTAATGAGACTTACAAATTACTGTGGGATTAGGAGAGCTCTGACAGGAAAGGTTTGCTGTGGTTTCTTTTTTCCCCCCTCAAGACAAAGTGCCCTATTTTTCTCACAAATGCATCTGATAGATCTCAATGTCTTTAAAAAAAAAAAAACCCCAAAAAACAACAAAAAAACCCCCCAAAAAACCCCAACCCCATAGCAGCTGGTATGCTCCTCATCCGCTTGTTTCCAGTGTTTTATTCCATAACTTTTTTCTGCACAAGTTTGGGTTCGATGGTATAATCTCAGTTAAAATGCTATTACATTGAAAGGGACACCCATCAGTGGTGAGGCCATGATACAGAATGATAAAGAATGGGATTCTGAGGCTGAGAACCTGAAGATGTGAGAAATCATGCAGATCAACTGACTAAATGTTTCCAATTATCCCCACTCCCTGAGAGCAAGTGCTCTACATCCGGAAGACAGAGAAATTAAAAAAAAAAAAAAAAATGTTATCACAAACTTCATGTGGAACCAAAAACTTCAATTTGTCTGCATTTTCTAAAGAAGGGAATGCTCACCACTGGAGAGTCACAATAAGAATCAAGGCCACAGCACTAACTCCCTTGAGACCAGAGACAATCTCACTCTCATAAAAGATGAATCAGCAAAAAGATGCCAGACAACATTAGAGTGACCAGGAAAACATGTCTCTGAGAAACCGATGTGTTAATTACAACATGCTCAAATGTACAGGGAAGCCACAGGTGTATACTGAAACTATTACAACTTCCATTGGAAAGGCAGAGAAAGATGCAGGAGATAGGAGGCTTCTCTATTTTGGGTCTTTTGAAAATCCAGCCTTTAACAGTTGCTTATTTTAATATTCACTTAGGCTGGGAAAAAATGTATCCATCCTTATAATGCTACAAATGACACCATTCTCCCCTTAATGTGGCAAGCAAACACTTATACTAAGCATCTGGTTGCTAGAGAAGCAGAATTCTCTGGAAATGTGTAAGTTTCATTACAGGTGAGAAGAGTTAGTCCACTCTCCTTCCTAGCCCACTTCCCCAATGAATGACACTGGCCAGTCAGCAACTCCCAGATGGAGTCTATGCCAGAGATCCAGGCAGAAGGTGCTACTAAATAGCCTACAAAAGCTGATCTGAGTCTCCAGAGTTTTTCTCCTTTGGGATGTCACTGAGTAACAGGTGCCAATCTACCAACTAGACTGCCTCCCAGTGTCCCAATGAACAAGCAGCTCAGGAACCCTTCATCTCTGGCACAGTACACACTGCCATTGGCATCTATGCTCCAATGTTACTTGGCACCTCTGGTCCCACACAGTAGAGAGGTATGAGGAAGCTAGTTGTGGCCTAAGCTCAGCCTTGTTTCCTAACCTACTGCAGACCTACCCAAGTAAGATGCCCAAAGATATCCTGATCTTGTTCAGCTCAATAGGGTGCTGATTTCAGGAAGCTGATATACTGATCACAAAACATAAGTAGTTTAAAGATACTCTGGTTCAAATAATGCTGTCTATATTTCTTAATAACAGGATACCATGTCCCTTTCTATCTCCAGAACTTTGGAACTTTTCCTAGGAGTGATGTTTGTGCCTAGAACAAGATCTGAAAGAAGGAAGCCACATTAGAGGTAAGAGCTCCAGAGAAGGCTGATGGAAGCCTTGGTAACTCCGTTCTGGGGAAGAACTAGATGTTGGACCACCTGCAGTAGTAAAAACTAGTGCTCTAACTGCACCAGGACATGTGACCCTTGACTGCATTCCGTAAAAAGGAAGAAGTGAAATAGGAGACCCACAGGACAAAAGTAGACATGAGGGATTAAACCTATGCATCAGAGTGTTCTCTGCTCTTAGGCTAACAAAATGAAAAAAGAGACTGAAGAAGAGAACCATCCCTGCAAAATCCACTTGTCACAGATGCTAAACAGTAACACATTAGAAGTTCAAGAAAGTATTAACTGTAGTCAAACAAGTGCTCAGGGATCATCCCAATAGAGAGAAGAAACATCATAGATCACCTTGAAGAAACTTGTAGATGGATGCAGGAAGGAAACCAACTAAATTGTTTTACCTCTTCATTGTCTAATTTTTAAAATAAGAAACATTCTCCAACCAGATTAGCAGTTTTTTCTAAAAGTCCACACAATCATGCAAAAGACATGATTCTTTCCCCTTCCTGTTTGGAACACACATCTAGATAGGGAAGCACCAGGCAAGGGTCAGTATTTCTGGGGTGATGGCACCAGTTACACTGTCCTGGGACCCTTCTGCTGCCCTGTGATCAGTGTCCCTGAAGTGTCTGCTATCTGTGGGTACAGATATCACCAGGCCAGGCCTAGCTGTTCTCCCCACCCCTCCGCCCTCCATCATCTCTCTGCAGAGAAGCAACCGAAGTGTGGCATAAGTTTGGCAGAAAGAATGCAGCCATGGTCTGCAGCCTCCCTGCAGAGAGCAGGAAGATTACAATTCCCTAGGATGCAACAACTACGCCAGGGCACACCCACCCCTTCCTTTCAGAAAGTTAAGACCCTCCGGACTGTCCAACACAATAACCAAGGCAGAAGCCTGGGTGGAGATGTGGTCATTATGGAGACCCCAATATGAGATCCCACAACTGGTGAAGAATGAAGAGCTGCTCCAAGGCCACAGTAATGTCTAACATTGACCCTTCCAGAACTCAGCCTCATCTCCTAGGCCACTACTGCCCTATGCCTGTTGGGACACGACTTCCAGCATGTTGCATATTCTGGGGTGCAGAGGTGTCTCTATTCTGACCGTCTTTTGGGGATCTTGGGCTTGATTTGTGTTCCTCTAGTCTGCAGAGGGCTTTACCTACCACAGTTGAGGATCACTAGCCTGGTAAACCTTCCTATGATGCCTCTAGGATGCCCCCACTACGAGGTACGTTCACTGGGATAGATCGCTGACAGGGGGTGCACCTCCACTGCCATCAAACAGAACCTCTCGGCGGCTGGGTTCAGCAATGGACAGCTCCTGGGCCAAGTCGTTGAACCGAGATATGTAATCAACGCTGTTTTCATTCATCATGCACACCAGCTGGGAATCCACAACCTGTGGGCAGAGGACACAAGGCAAGACCACATCAGCTAGTGGTGGCTTGCCATTTAGACTGGACGAGAATGGCCACAACTTGGACTTCCAATCGAAGGCAAATGAACCTAAGACCTCAAGGTCTCTCTACAGTGAAGACTGTAATCTCCCATCGACTTGCCATGTAACAGCAGCCCAGCACTCTGGGAAGAATCTCAGAATAGCACATCGTTTTGAACTCTGGGTTTTGTTTTTTGAGTGAAGAAGATGCTTTTATTAATCACAACATGAAATTAACTTTACAACCCATTAGAATTGAACCAGGATAAATATGCTGTTAGAAAATTTATTTCTCACATTCGAGGAAAAAAGGACATAGTAGGTCTCTTCTAGGTCTTTTAAACTGATTTCAGTAAACTTTTTTTTAAACTAGTGAACAGCATTAACATATATTCTCAAATAGTGCTAAGAAGGAGTTAGAAAGGCAACTATGAAACCTAATACTGACAACAACTGGCAGGATTAGAGCTATTTTGTTAAAATGTTAAGAACCACATTTCTACTTTACCTGTAACATCAGTGTACCTTTTTCACTGATTAAGACAACTGCTTGCTGAGGGTGCCACAATGATTGGCAAGTTTCTTAAGTAACAGATGTTTGATTGATCAGGACTCAAATAAGCTTCCTTTCCCACTTTTGTCTCTTTTGGAGGAGAAATAGGTAACTCTGCCTTTTGTATGTAAGGAAGCTGATATTCTGATATTCAGCTTCTGTAATATTCTAGTTGGTAAGTAAAAAGGGATATGAATTATTATTAGGAATACATCTTTGAAATACTTTGTTTTTAAAATACCAAGGCTTCTGAACTTCTCAAACCTATCTTTCCATTTTGGTACATAACTTGATAAAGGTAACATACTAGATCTGTATTATAGTAATTTCTTCTGTCAACTGCATTTTGCCTTCAATAAGTGTGAGAGTTATAGACTCAAACAATTTTTACACATAAAGCATCTTTAGTTTCCTTTTCACTAAACTGAAATTTCCCCCCAACTTCTGTGCCTGTGAAAGGTAATCTGAACACAGACATACATACTTGCATACATGTGTATATTTTTCTATATGTTTGAAGTAACTTACTTTTACCATTAGAATAAAACTAGACTACAGGGACAACTCTGTGAAGACAGTTTGGTCTTCCTCAGAAATCCTCCTCTGGGTTGATGAAAGCAGGTGCAGTTTGCTGAAGGATGCAATGAAGCTGTATTAAGTCTTTTCATCATCTGCTAGTCCTGCATTGCCAGGTCTCACCACAGCTATGTGTACATCTGCTTTCTCAGAAGCACATGTTTCTAGACTTATGTCTGTCAGAGACATGTTGGTTGAGTACCCAATGCTGTTTGCAATCTTTCAGTAACTCTCACTGTCCACTTTGTGTCCAATCTTGGTATCAAAATGACCAAAAAGCTCAAGAACATCTCCCTCTGTAGAATGCTGAAACAATAGTTTCCTGTGCCTTTGCACTCACTGAAGAATATATATATGCCTCCATTTCAGCCTCTCTGCACTTCCTGACTGCTAGAATTACATCTTCAAAGAACCCATTTCCTCAAAAGACTGACATCCTGATGACATTCCTCTTTTTCCCAATGTGTGTGCAAATACTCTTTTAATATTTTCTCTGATGTAAGGAAATAAAATGTCCAGAAGAGGGTCAGAGGGCTGTGGATGGAGGTCCCACCCCACCCACCAACCCCTGCCACGCAGCCTGAACTCTCATTGTTTTGACAAGCATGGAGAGTGTACAGTGAGCTTAGCACATCTGGTTGCCAGGATCTGAGTGGTGGTTCCCTTTTTATGAGACTGTTGGGGGGAAGACAGTCAGACAGATAGACAAATGGCACAAAGTGGAATGCAGAAACTCTGGGGTGGCCTGTAGGAGACCTAAGTGGAGAAAGGGGACAGAGTTTGCCATGAGGGTGGTGGGCACATTCATGTCAGAAGAAACATGAGGTCAAAAGGCTGGGGGTGGGAATAGGCTTTGGCTCTGTCATTAACAAGAAAGCTGATGGATGTGATAGTAAGTGGAGTTGAAGACAAGAGACAGACTCCAGTGTGTACAGTAGGGTCTTAGGTACTGGGACTTTATTCTGTGGACAAATATGTGGAACCTACAGTCTTCAGGGTTTATACTCTGCCTCCTTTGCTGGAGTGGAAGCCTCATGAGGAAGAAGCCCTTGTTTTATTCACTCAGTGCCTAGCACATCATTAATGAACTGCATGAAATAATGAAATAAAAAGCTTTGTAAAATTCTGAGTAGAGCTATGGCCTGAACTGAATTTTAAAACTTTTATTGTGAGAAACAGGAAAACAAACTGAAATTTGTTTTCCAAAAGGAGAGAAAACAGTGACTGTTTTTCTCTCCATATATCGGTCACCAGCTTCATCAATTTGTGGTCAATCTAGGCCTCTCTCCCACACACCTCTTGCTCCCATCTCTTTTACTCAAATCCCACCATCAGATCATTTCAGCCACATGTTTCAAACTGCACTTCTAGATGAGGACTACCTTAAAAACACTCATGTTTTTGAATGTGCGAAGTTCCTGGTCAGATCCTTTTGATAAACACCTGCTATTTCTGCAGGTAAATATGTGTTACTGGCTATGGATTTAGTAGTTCATGAATAGCACCTGCCTTTGTTCTGTGCTGCCTACCTTTGTGTGCAATGTGCCACTCACAGATCTTGTTAGAAATGCAGGTTCTTTTTTTGTTGGGCCTGTGATGGCTCCAGGGTCTGCCCTTCTAATAAGTTCAAGGTGTTCTGTAGTGGGTCTGTGGACCACCTTTAAATAGCACAGTCCTGGAGTGTCATCTTGGGATGTCTGTGCAGTGCCCGCCTTTGCAAGAACTAGGTGCTTATAAACAATGTCCACAGAGACACAGGAAGAGAAAGAGACCAGCCTCTTGGGGGACAGTAGAGTCACAAGGTGTTCTCTAAATAAAGGTTCTGTGGCCACAGAAATGCTCATCGAGGGGGGAGGGAATTTACTATATTGCTTTGTTTAGCTTGTATTTAGGTGAAATTTCCATTCATGTCAGGGGTCAGCCGAGAATCCTCCAAAGCTTTCCCACAAGTTCCTCAGGTCTAAGACTCACATCAAGAGCTGAATGGCCACGGGACACCACTGTGTGAGCCTTGTCTGATCCAGGGCTTCCCTCAAGAATCTTACTATAAATCCCTTGAGGGACACCCACTAATACCTCAGCATCCTGGGGAGCCAGAGCATGGGAAATGTTGCTCCAGGACTTTTATCAACAGGACCAAGCCCATCCAAGTGGCATTCTAAATGTAGACTCTCTTCATTTTCAGCATATCCTCTAAATCTCTCTTCCACCACCTGTTACTTTGTCCCTTGCCTTATAGTTAAATGTATCTGTCTGCATTCCTTCAATTAGTGCACATCCTTGCAAGCCTTTCTTGCTCAGACAATACTCAAACTGTGTGGGATGGAGCCTGGGCGGCTACACGAGCAGAAAGCTTCACTTAAGAAAGAGGGACACCACATTCTGGGTACCTTTTCCATGAGGCCTGTATTTATCCAGGGAGATTTCTGGCATTCCTGTTAATTGACATTTGGACATTCTGGTCCAAAGATGAGGGCCACAAACTAAGTCTTCCTTGCACATCAAGAGTCTGCCATAATGTGACTTCTGTTGTTATCACCCTGATCATGAGAGGAGCCCACGAGAGTGTCCGTGCCCTTCCTGCAGAACCCCTTGTCCTGCTTGGGGAACAGTGACAAGTAATGACACAGGGAGGTGCTGCTCAAAGTCAGACGGCAGCAGGGATGACACAGCCACCTACAACTGTCCTTGACTCCTCTACCAACACCATCAGCATCACAGAAAGGCAGCGTTACCTGCCTGAGGGCAAGTGGCTGGTGGAAGATACAGCAAGATCCAGTCTGCCTGCAGAGTCCCCGCAGTCAACCCTGACAACAGGACTTCCCAGGTTTTGACATCTTTAAGGCTCAGCTATTACTTTGTTGTTTGCCACCAGAGTTTCCTTTCTCAGAAGCCCAAAACCTGGATATACACGTGCTGACTTTTGGTTTTGACATCTTGATGAGTAGTTCTTAATAACCAAACAGGTCTGCTGGAGGGACTTGGCCACCTCTGGAAAGAGGGCTGGAAGTCTAATTCAGGCCTAAGGTTGTATACTTACCTCTGCCACGTCAGCCAAGGACCTGGACACAAATGAGTCTCTTGAGTTTCCATCTAGCAGGCTGGGGCCCAGCAGGGAGGTGCCACTGTGGGTCCCCGCTGGAGTTGGCAGCATCTTCCGGCCCTTATCCGAAGAGATGAAGCTTGCTGCCAAGAGGAGGAGGAACAAGCCCTGAGACCAGCTTGGTCAGTCCCAGGCCAAGACAAGGCTGGAGGTGGCCTCACCAGGACCATGTAGGCCTCCACCTGTACACTTGCACACAGTGAGTGTGTAGAGTCATAGCTTCCCTGGCTTTTCTCAAGTGGGGACCCTTGGAGGGTCCCACAGAAGCACACACAAGTTGGCCTCATATTTGCAGGGGCCCTCAATATTCTGCTCTCCAGTCACAATTCCCACCTCCATGTAAAGTGGTTTCCAAGTTTTCACAATTTGTGTTTGATTTTGTAGCAGTCTGTACTGTTCTACAGGACTCATACAACAAGAAACACTCATTGGGTGCTGGCCCCCTGCATCAGCCAGCCCAGAGCCCGCATTCTGGGCCGTCAGGTGTGGCGTCTACATAGGGTGCTGACCCTGTTCAACATGTGTACAGCACACTCCTCTCTGGGGCTGCAGTCCAATGGCCATGTGTACGTACTGGCTACTCTCTAAAAATGCAAAGTGCATGGATCCCAGATGCGTCTCAGAAGCCCCTCCTATGGAGGCCAGTATGTCTTTCCCTAACATCCTCCACCCATCACGCCAACACCTGGTGCCCAGTGAAGATGAATACATCCTGTGAATGTGTCAAACTGTGCCAAAAGAAAGCTGGACTGGCCACATCATAGTAATTTATTGAGGGGAAAAAAAGAGGGAAGCTAAGCGCATAAAAAGCCAATTTCTTCTACTTTGCTGTTGGCAGCGAGAACAGAAGGCCCTAGTCGGGGAAGGACCAGGGCAGCTAGCTCCACTGCAGAAGGGTACAGGGGACTATGTGGAGACATGGACGTGGGCTATATCTCAACTAAGCTGTGGGTTACAAGGGTGTCATATTTGCCAAAACTCAGTAAACTGCACACTGAATATCTGGACATTCTCTCATAAGTAAGTAGTGCAGAAAAAACAAACCCTGGAAAAGAAGCAAACAGTCCTAGTGGGAGTTCTGCCAAAGGAGAATCCAGACTCCAGTCCACCCATTAAATTCACCATGTGGAGCCCTGCTTGTCCCCTGCTCATCTCAGATAGAGACATGGGCACCCCTCACAGACACTCACCAAACAAGCTGCTGAGGGATGAGTCCGTGGGGTCGCTGGGGCACCACTGGGGGTCATGGGTGGGTGAAGCAATCCAGTCTGGCTGGGGGCTGCTGGATGGGGAAGGGAGACTCTTGGAACTGTCACTGCCATTTAGTTTAGCTGGAGAAAGAGGGACTCCTTCACCTGTCAATCAAAATCCTGGGTCAGAGATGCCACGTGGGCTGAACAGCACTCCGCTTCCACAACCTGTCACTAAGGCAGTGTGCCAGCACAGCTCTGTGCCTCTGAACTCTAGAGACCCAGGACCCTGCTGGGACCCCCACAAAGGATGAACAACACTGGTCTGTGAAAGGAAACCCCCTTGCAGCAGAAATACACGCCCATCCTAGGGAACAAAAACAGCCGCAGCTATCACTGATGGAGCCAGAACTTATGCCCAAAGCTTTACCTAAATCCTCTCACACATGCTTACGACAGCTCTGTGGAGTGCACGGTATTCCTGGTACACAAATGAGCCAATGACCTGCCCACAGCCGGACACTGCCAGGCTTTGAACTCAGCTCATTTTGAATCTATGGCCTGAATCATACCAGTAAGTGCCAACCACACCACTGCTACCAGGACATCAGGCCAACCATCTCCTGGAACATGCAAAACCCAAAGGCACCCACCCCGATTCATAACCAACTAGGACAACACCCCACCTAATCTTCAGGCTGGAGAGGCCTTGTTAGCCCGCTGTTGGTCTCAAGGTCAGGAGCTGTCCCACGAGACCATAAACAGCTGTAGGTTCTAGCCATACCTCATCAACCTGTGCTGCCTCTGCTGGCCAAGGCAGGTGCTTGTTATGCAAAAGTGAGAGCGAAATAGGGTGAGCCCAAATCCCCTAACCGAATGGGGAACTGATTCCAAGAGGGGTGAGCAGGGACATTACCATACTGGCCAGAGCTGATGGCAATCTCAATAATGGAGTCGCTGATCTGAGTGGCAGGCTCTCCCTGTGAAAGCACGTCCTCAGGTGGGCCAGGCAGGGAGATATCCAGCAGAGCAGAAACGTTAGGTGGAGAGAGTCGAGTGCTGGAGCCCTCTGCCAAGGGTGAGGTGGAAAGTCCATTGTGGAGAGGAGCCTTGGACAGCTCTGATAAGGAGAGGACAGGCGAACCCTAGTGGGAGATGGGGAATTGTTCAGTCACAATCGATTCATAATAAACAACAAAAAAATCAACTTCAGCCTTCCAAGGTGGAAACAAAGTGATGGGCAAGTCAACAGAGAGGTGATGGAAAGAAACTGTAATCTCCCACAACTGTGTCTGAATCAGCCATAGATGGGAAATGTGTGTTCTTCTATCTAGGCAACAGAAGGACAAAGCCACTGGATGTCCATGTGTCCTTGTCACATCCTGGCAGTCCTCAGCAGGGATGCTAGGCCTGCTGGCAGGATGGGGACTCAGCATTGGAGGGGGATCCTGGGGCAGCTATTTTGCTCAGCAGCCAGTAGCACACATTACCTGGAAACCGTCTGTCATTGGCTCCTGCTCAGACCTCGAGGGGATGCTGATAAATGGATCACTTGAACCCTACAAGAAAAGAGCACCATGAATACCAATGAGCCACTACACACAGCCTGCCAGAACTCTGCTCAAAGACTAGTGAGCCATTAAGCGCCTGAGGAAGGGGCTGTTCTACTCCCCAGCTTCCTAAACAACCTAGCAGCACAGGAACACATTGTGGTCTGGGTTGGAAATCTCTTCCCGTGTGGACAAGCAAGCCCACTGTCCCAGAGGGTGGGCCAACAAGTTGCTGCACTTAAAGACTGTCAATTCAAAACCTCATAGTCCTCAGGCAGGGCTGGGCTATGAAACCAGAGAAACCTGAGTGCTGACAAAGGCAGAGAGAGTGCTGGTCAGGGGCCACTAAGCCCACTGCTGGCCAATTTGGTTAATGTTCCTTCTCAGGCCAAGCTGACACAGGAGTCTGCTGACATACAGATCTTGCTTATCTCAGTTCTGGATTCTCCTGTGTCACCCAGCAAGCCTGTCGCCACTCTGTCTCCTTCCATGGCTCTCAACTCTGATCCATGCGGTGCTCACACATGCCACACCCTCCCTGGTTTAGTGACTCTCCTCTAGCCCTTCAGACCTGTCCCCTCCTGAGGCAGAACTGGAGTCCAGCATAACCTAAATCCCATTATCTTGGCTCCTGTCCCTCTGGAGAGTGACTGACCCACCCCGAAAGCTTGTATTAACTCAGAGAAGCCTTTTTACACACTCACCCCCACGGTGGCAGGGATGGAGTCTCTATTTTGGTGGTTGCCAGCAGAGTCTTGTCCCGAGAGGGCAGCTGTTGCCTCATCTGAAGATAGTGGAGAGATGCCAGACAAGCCCTCAGCATCCAAGACGGGGAGGGGGCTCCCAGGGATAATGCCAGCACTTGTAGCCGCTAAGTCAACAGCACCTGGTAACAGAAAAAACATTGCCAATTCGAGCTCTACAGACATCCCAAAACATGCTCCACAGGGCTCATAGGAACAGCCTCTCCCTCATGCCTCATTTTAATGAGTAAGGGCAATGACTTTCCTGTTCTCTCTGGAGGATACTAAGACAGCATGGCTTGGGGAAGAAGAAAATAGAAACATTACTCAGAACCCTCAGTGGTGTCTGTCTCCATGTTGGTCACAAAAACTTACTGGCCAGATGGCCCGTGGCCTGGGGTGGAAGGACCTTGGGCATGATTGGCCGAGACAGAGCCGCTTTGGTCAGGGAGGACTGGATGGGCCGGAACGAGCCTCTCCCTGTGAGAAAAAGAACAGAAGCCGCTGCATTAAGCCCATTTGCCCCCAGTGCATGGTGGAAGCTACAGAGAGTTTGCTTTCACAGCCAGTTGGGACCATGGAAGCTGAACCAAAATGGAAACCACTGAACATCAAGTATGTGCTAACTTGAAGAAGTCTAAGGTCAAACTGGCCCCCAATGAGGAGAGAACTCTGGCATCTGTGATGGCAGCACCACTGTGCCCCTTGGGGGCTGACTGCTGTCAGCACTCTCATCCCCTGGTGATGGCCCTTTAAGGGTGAGGCACACCTGAGCTAGCCTACAAGCTCCTCTGAGGAAGTCAGAGCATCAAATCTTGAACTCAGACTCTGCCTCTGCAATTGCGCTCTTTCCTATTAGGCTTTCTGCAGATAAAAAGGAGGCATGAGAAAAAGCAATCAACAGCTGTCTGGGTCTAGCAGTTAAGTAAATCTGAAATGTCAACATCAAGACTGGGTCCTGACTAGTGTGGCTCAGAGGATTGGGCATTATTTGGCAGACCGCAAGGTCACCTGTTGGATTCCCGGTCAGGGCACATGCCTCGGTTGTGGGCCAGGTCCCCGGTTGGGGTGTGTGAGAGAGGCAACTGATAGATGTTTCTCTTGCACATTGATGTTTCTCTCCCTCATCGATGTTTCTCTCCCTCCCTTCCCCTCTTTCTAAAAAGAAAAAAGAAACCTTTAAAAAAAAAATCAAGATTGATTCAAAAGCTAAATCACAGAGTATTCTTCACTAAACTATTCTCACTGAAGTGAAAAAATTTACTTCAAAGAGCCAAGGCACTCAGTGACCTTAGAGACCCATGAAGGCCTGATTTGTACACCTCAAGATCACATCTATTCCAAAGAATAAAACAAACAAAAAGCCTGACAAAATATCAGAGAGAGTGTGGGCCAAACTAAGCAAAGCATCCCTAATAGGGCCACCTAGGCCCACATTTGAAGGGAGCTGCCCGTGCACCACCTGACAGAGGCCCACGCTTGCCTGCACTGCAGCCCAGGCCCAGTGAAGGGGCACACTCAGTGTCTGCTGACAGAGCGGGCAGAGGAATGCTGGAAGTGTCATGCCAAGAGCCTCGAAAGCAAACGCCTGCCATTCCCAAAGACGAGGCGGCATGCAAGTAAGGAGGAGTGAAAAGCCAACCCCAGTAGCCCCAGTGCTTACCGGTTATTGAGGAATTTGACATGATAGAGAAGGAGCAGACATTGTGGGACTGGTTTTCAGATGGTCTAGGAAGCAGGGTTCTCTGTGGAGGGAAAACTGCCAACAATCAGGTGACAAAAAAAAACCCCAACACCAAAAATCGCTCAGGAAACCAGTGAAGAGTTATAAATGGGTATTCCAGTTAACAGCAAGCTGAGTATAACCAGATGGTTCTGGTTCTAGAGCTAATGACACAAGGGCACCTGAAAAAGTCTAAGGACGAATATATCCTATAGATATATATAAGCCCTGAACACTGGGTCCTCTCTGAATCCAAGAGATCAAACCTTCTCCAGGGACATGGGAGAAATGTCAGAACCATCAACTGTTAATCCAGAACGTTCCTCTGGATTTGGCTGAAATGCAACTAGTCATATATTTCTGTTTATAACCACTCAACGTGGACTGTTACAGTGTGGACCTATTCTGGGCCGCCTCAAATTTGGGATGAAGGAAATAAAGTTGTTGGCTACAGCAGAGATAGGCTAAGGGCCTGTAGCCCTCTACCCCATCTGACAGTCCTGGTGCCCACCCCTCCCTATCTGTCCAGGGCTTCTGTGTGTGAATAATGAAGTTCAAATGTGACAAATACCATCTAAAGAAATATTAACTGCTGAAATGGTTACGCTGTGAAGTAAAACATTAACAGAAGTATCTGTCAATCCAAAAGTGTCCCGAGGACTTCCAGCTCTGGGGGCACAGCTGCCTCTCTGCTGACATACAAAGGACATCTCCATTCCCCTCAGAGGAATGCCAAAGTGTTGGCAAAGAGGAGAGGAAATGCTACTGGGGCTGCAAACTCAACAGGGCCATCTGCTCAGCTGCTGTGAGGTGGTAGGGTGACCTGTTAAAAAGGTGAGGAGCTGAAGACATGCCTGCTCTGCTCAAAATGCACTTTCTGAGAGGACTAACTAGGTGAGAAATATTTTAGGCTTTGGGGCCATATAGTCTCTGTTATTGCTACTCATCGCCACCCTGGTAGTATGAAAGTAACTGTGGACAGTAGGGAAATAAATGACTGGCTGTGTCCAATAAAACTTTTCATAAAAACAGTAAATGGAGCCGTGGCTGATGTGGCCCAGTGGATTGAGTGCCGGCCTGCAAATCAAAAGGGTTGCTGGTTCGATTCCCCATCAGGGCACATGCCTGAGTTGTGGGCCAGGTCCCCGGTAGGCGACATGTGAGAGGTAACCACACATTGAGGTTTGTCTCCCTCTCTTTCTCCCTCCCTTTCCCTCTCTAAATAAATAAATAAATAAATAAATAAATAAATAAATAAATAAAATCTTTAAAAACAAAACAAAATAATAAATGGTGTGGTTCAGTTGGCTGGAGCGTCATCCCATAGACCAAAGGGTTGCATGTTCAATTCCTGGTCAAGGCGCATATGAGAAGGCAACCAATCAACATTTCTCTCTCATCTCAATGCCGGCCCCCCCCCCCCCCCCGCTCTTTATCAAAGCAATGAAAAAGTGTCCTCAGGTGAGGATAAATAAATGAAAAAGGCCACACATTATGTGATTCTATTCATGTGAATGCCCAGAACAGGCAAATCCAGAGGGAGAAAGGGGATTTGTGGTTGCCAGGGCTGGCAGAGGGGGCAATGAAGATAATAAACAGAGGGCTTCTGTTTAGGGTGATGAAAATGTTCTGGTGATGGTTGCACATCCCTGTGAATATACTTAAAAACCACTGAGCTGTATACTTTGAATGGGTGAACTTTATAGTATGTGCACTACCTATCAATAAAGCTGTTAAGATACTTCATCAACTACACTAAAACCAAATGCATTAACACTTAAGAGTTGGCCATAAAACACAGATTTGAACTGTGCAGGTCCCTTATACATGTATTTTTTTTCAATAAATACCTGTACTATTTTCGATTCACGGTTGAGAATCTATGGATGAGGAGGGCCAACTGTGCATTAATCTACACCATTTTATATAGGGACTCCAGTATTTGCAGATTTTGGTGCCTGTGGGGCATCCTGGAACCATTCCCTTGCGGATACTAACTGACAATTTAAGTTTTGGAGGAGTCAAAAGTTATACATGGATTTTTGACTCTGCAAGAGGTTAGCAACCCTAACCACTGCACTATTCAAGAGTCAACTGTAGTCTGCACAAAATACATAAAAACACTTAAGATTTAGAATACATCTTTCTTCCTAAGATCCATCATGCAGTCTCTCATTTTTAAATAAATTAATCTGAATAGATTTCTATGAGTCTAATAAAACGAGATCCATGCACTAATCCCAAAACAATGCATATTTGTAACTTTCTAAGCCCACAGTCATTTCATAATTCCAGCTTCACCTCTTTTACCTTTTTACCTCCAAATAAAACTGCGCTCTTTCGCACATGCAGCTTATTCCTGTATCTCCCCTCTGGTTTGCATGTGTCATCTGCAGATCCCCCCAGTGTTTATCATTATGAACACTGATGAGATTTGGGCTCTGACCAATCCATAAACCTTGCCAACTGCTTCCACTGGCTAGATATTTATAAAGAGATGTTCTGAGAGCCCTCAAATATATACTAATCTGGAACATTCCTGGGACTTGAATCCTCAGAAACTTGTCTTTTTTGCAAGTAGTTTTCATGTTGTGCAAAAATTATCTTTAATTTCAGGTATAGTTAGGGACACTGTTATTACTTTAGTTATCCTATTTAGAAAAAGGAAGAAAGGGACAGGGATCCCCCATTTCAGGTTAACACCCAAGACACAAGGGAAGAACAATGTGCCCGGCAGCTTGGCCAGTGGGAGGCCAACCACGCAAACCTGACCAGGCAGGGTTCCTGACCTGGACCACCAGTGGCTTCCGTAGGTGCCGGTTCTGCAATTTCCGGGGCTTTGGCAAGAAGAAATCCGACTGCATCTGTGGGGAAAAGAGCGCCCTATCCTTGAGAGTGTTTTCACAGCAAACTCAGGTCAGCAGGTGAGCAGAGGGATGAAGTCTTCACACTTACGCTGATGGAGTTCAGATGCTGAAGGAAAGTCAATTCTGTCTCTTTATTGGGAGAGAATAGCTTCCCGTGTCGGCTATTGGGTGGCAAAGTTGTTGGGACGGCAAAAAGGCCACCATCTGAGTCACTGCTTCCTGTACTGGAGGGACCGGCCACCAAGAGGGGTCTTGGAGGGTTTCTCAAACCTAGAAAAGGAGAAGGGGAAGTGAACACAACTACAGACAACACAACAATAGCTGCCTCGAGTGAAGGAATCAAAATTATACCTATTTTTGTCAGATAAGCAAAAATAGGTATAATTTTGATATGCTACAGAATTTTAGTAAATAGTTTGTGTGTCATGGGATGAAAATAGCCTGAAAATCACTGCCCTAGAGAACTGTTAACACACCAGGACATTAGGTGTCTTCACCTAGAAAGTTATTGCAGGTTTTAGGACACCCATCTAGATCAGGGTAAGAACAGAAGCAGGACCACCTTGCCTCTTGTATGATTCATCATGCATCAGACATCACTGCAGAAAACCTGGCCAGTGTGGATATTCAGTATGTCCAGGATGGCCAAGGTTCTGCAGCAAGAAAGTCTGCCTAAGGGAAAAGTTATGACACTCTTCACGCCTGATGTGGAAGTCTTCCAGGTCACAGGGCACAAAGGAATGTGCCAGCCCTCACGCCCTGCTGTCCCTGCATGCCCTGACATCCTATCTCATCAGGTCAGTCTAAGGAGTTACAAGACTTCGGTGAGTGAAAGGAGGGAGTCAGGCTTAGGTACATATACCATAGACTCATGCCAGGGGCATACAGGGAAGGGCTGCAGAGCATCCACACATTCTTTTTTACCTTTAAAATTCATGATTCTAGCCATAATTAATCTGTTTTACTAAGAAATAGTAAGCAAAGAAAATTGGTGCCTCAGGGAAATAAGTCCTGGGTTTACGTACCTAGTAACCCAATTAAGGACCCTAAATTTAAAAGTATCCCAGATAGCCCTAACTGGTGTGGTTCAGTGGGTTGGGCACTGTTCTGCAAATCAAAAGGTCATTGGTTCAGTTCCTGGTTAGGGCACATGCCTGGGTTGTGGGCCAGATCCCGAGCTGGGGGCATGTGAGAGGCAACAGATCGATGTTTGTCTTGCACATCTGTTGTTTCTTTCCTTTTCTACCTTTTCCTCCCTCTAAAAATTAATAAATAGGTGTGGACCCAGCACCAGCCACAGAGCCCCCATGGGCCTGCCCGGCCCTGAGTCCCGCGCTGCACAGGTACCAACCTAGAGCCAGAATTGAAGCTACAAGATGGCTGATCAGGGCCCTGAGGGCATTAGCCCCCTCCAACAAATGGTGACCTCAGGTGCGGGGCTGTGGTCACCTTTCTCTTCATGACCCCACTGGACATGGTGAAGGCTCACCTGAAATTTTAATGCCCCTCAGTGCCCAGCGAGCTGACGCCTCCCACCAGACTCTGGAGCTTCTCGTATGCCAAATGAAAAGTGACTCCTGTACTGCAATGGTGTCCTGGAGCCCCTGTATTTGTGCCCAAACGGTGCTCGCTGTGCCACCTGGTTTCAGGATCCCACTCACTTCACTGGCACCACTGATGCCTTTGTAAAGGTTGTGAGACACGAGAGCACCAGGACCCTATAGAGCGGCCTCCCACCCACTCTGGTGATGACTGTGCCAGCCATCGCCCACCACTTCACTGCCTAACACCAACTCAAGGCCTTCCTGTGTAGTCGACCTCTGACCGGACTTCCACGCACAGATGGTGGCTGGTGCCCCAGCCCACTTGGGTACTGTCATGTGATCGGCCCCCTGGACCTGGTACAGACAGGTTCAGCATGTGTCATACTGGAAGGTGGGTACCTGTGTCTGAGCTGCCATGGCTCTTCGGGATGTACTCTTTTCAGCCTTGTATTGGTTCAGCTATGAGCTGTTGAAGAGCTGGCTGAGTGGGCTCAGGCCAAAGAACCGGACATCAGTGTGCATGTCCGCTTTGTGGCTGGCGGCGTCTCAGGGACGGTGGCAGCCAACCTGACTTTACCCTTCCATGTGGTGAAGACAACACCAGGTTGCGCTGGGAGCAGTGGAGGCAGTGAGTGTCATCCCTGCACACTGACTCCACCTGGCTGCTGCTGTGGAGGATTTGGGCTGAGTCTGGCACGTGGGGACTCTTCGCAGGCTTTCTCCCAAGAATCATCAAGGCTGCCCCACCCTGTGCCATCATGATCAGCACATATTAGCTGAGCAAAAGCTTCTTGCAGAGTCTCAACCTGGAAAGCCTCTGGGCCAGTGAGAGAAGCAAAGGAATGGGGGCCACATCTCTTCTGTGGATGGGGTGGGGCAGGAGGAGACTGGGCCAAGTGCTTTGTTCCCAGGAAAAGGGCCTCATTTTTCTTCCCTCTCAACTCTGAGCCCCAGGGGTAGTGCCTCACCCCTTTGAGCACACCCATGTTCTCCTCAGACAGCTTTCTTCCTGCTGGTCCCCATCCCAAGCCCCAAGGATCATCACTTTTCCACCCTCCCCTTTCAAGTTCAAGACCAAATCTGTTAACTGCTTCCCCTTCACTCCTTTGCCTACTTCCCTGTGTGTTTGTTGTAGCTGGACCTGCCCTTATTAATTCCTTGAGTATAAAGACGAAAAAAATAAATAAAATCTAAATAAATAAATATCTCCCAGATGTACAACTGGGGCAAAGAAACACAGTGGGCTGGAAGGTCAGACTCTTTCCAAGGCTTGTATTATACTACTGGGAAGCCCCTGAACTTAGGTGCCTTTACTCTAATATTTTATTTTTAAAAGATTTTCAAAAATTTACTTTTAGAGAGAGGGGAAGGGAGGGAGAATGAGGAGGAGAGTAACACTGATGTGTAAGAGAAACATCGATTGGTTGCCTCTTGATCAGTTGCCTCTCACACACCCCCAACTGGGAGACCCACTGAACCACGTCTGTCAGGGCTACTCAAATATTTTAGATGTAAAGAAAAACAGTCTCTAGGAGATTCAGAAAGAACCAACCCTTCTCAGACTTTAAGCCACCAACTCAGCATGTTAAGGCGGCTTCTGCTGACCTCATAAAGCACAATCCCCTCAAAAGTGAACGAACTGGCAAGAGCTATCACGTTTCTCACTGGCTCCTGCACCCAAAGACCCTAAAGCCCTTGGTGACAGGCCCGCCTCTTCCCGCCTCTCAAGGAGGTGGCAATTTCTGTTATCTTAACCTCGTCCCCTAGAGCGTCACTGAGTGGGGCCAGGCCTCAGGCATCCCTGCACTTTCAGCCCTGGCATAGCTCCCATGCCAAGCGGGGTGCCCAGGATGGTGGGATCTGGGTAAAAAAGGGCTGCCAAATCTCACCTGAGGAGGGGCAAGGAGCAGAGCTGGGAGAGAAGGTCTTGCTGTTGCGAAGGGCAGACTGGTTTCGAGGGCAGCGGGGACTTCGGGAGCTGATGTTCACCACCTTCCCTGGAGGGGTTGTCAGCTGCTCCTCCTGGGCAGGTCTCACTGAGGCCATAGAGCTGGCATTTGACTCTGGAGCCTAGGATAGAAAAATGCCAAAACAAGAGCCAAACTCAGCCTATGAACAATGGTACTGGAATGAGTACCCAGGAGCAGAAGGTACAAGAACTCCCTGAGTTTAGAGGGACAGCAAAGGCTAAGTGACCACACTTCCATGATGGCAAAGGTTAGTATCCTTGAGTAACTCAACAAGGCCAGCAGTCAAAGTCATCAGTCAGGTAGGAATTCGGGGACCCCACACCTCCTCCTGTACCTCCCATGGCCCTTCAGCCCCCACCCCTGACCTACTTTTTTCTTTCCATGGGAACCATTCCCCCTGCCCTCAGCCTACTTTTCTGCTAAGCTTATTCAATCTCACTATTCAATTGCCCAACTCAGTGCCCAGCCAGCCTCTTATCAGCATCCTGACACCCCAGGAAACTTGCTTGTCAGTGTTTCACCCTACAGCAGAAGGGAGACCACAAGGCCAGGCCATCCATCTTTAATTCAAGGTCCCGATTCTCAGCTGGGGCCTTTGGTAAGAGGTTCTCACACCTGAGCTGCATCAGAATCACCTGGTAGAGGGTGTCAAAACATAGTCTGTGGGATCCTGAAAACCTGCACCTTTCACAAGTTCCCAGGTGATGCTGAGGCTGTTGCCAGGGAACCCATTTTAAGAATCATGGCTCTGAGCACCCTGCTTTGCATTCTCTGCAATACTTCCATCCTGCTCCACTCTCCCCTTCAGTTCAGGCCAAGGCCACTACCTCAGCTGTGTTGCTTCCAGCTTTCGCAGGAGGCTGTCTAGCTGGTCCTCCTTCCCTATGGTACTGAACATACATGTTCCCCCGTCTCCTTTCCTGACCCCTCCAAAAGACAAACTTGAAAGTTTTTTACACTCATCATTTCTGTCCATTCACTTTACTGTTGCCCATGCCTCCCCAAGGGTCACCTCCACACTGCAAAATCCAAAGGGCATCACTCACCGTCAGGCCTTGCCTTACCAGCCTCTGTAGCATCCAGCCAGTTCCCACCCACCCCTGCGAGTGCCACCTCTCTCATGAGGCACTGATTCACTTCACCACTGTTCTACTGAGAGTCTCTGGGCAAGCACTGTGCAGAGATGCAACTGAGAAAACAGAGGAACCTGGTAGGGGAGTCACACTGGAAATCAACACAGAACAGCAAAATCGAAGACTGAGTGTCTGCCCAAGAAAAGCAGAGGTGTGATGTGCGTTCCCAGGCACCCCTCATACTTAGTTCTGACGTGAATCAGCACTCAGGTGTGCACAGTGAGACTACAGTCCTGGTCTGTCCCCCAAAACCACTGCATTCAGCTACCTCAGCTGTTCCTCCTATTTCGGGAACAACTTGTCTTAAGACTCTGCTTTCTTGTGTCTAAGAGAGCCTACAAGACTTTCCCATGAGTGAAAAGTCTCTCCCCTCTTTGTGGCTCCTCTAATTGGCCACCCCAGGTAGAGGGTCCTAAGCTGTGGTCTGTGTGGCAGGGTCTCCCATTCCATGGGCCATTATGGCTGTTACCTGGGCTCAGGGACCACCCACACACCTTGGACACTCCTGAGGAGCCGCAGACCACTTCGACTAGCCTTCTCTTGGACATCTACACATGGAGGTCCACATGCGGAGGTCTCTTAAGTGCAGACCCATAAAGCTAAGCCCCACAGGGTGCAGCCCACAGCCCCAGCATCCTATTTTTCCCTCCCTCCATCAAGGCTGTGCCACTGCTGTCCTCCTAGGACAACCATTCTAAAGTGCAAACTCGACCTTGTCACTACTCTGATGAAACGTGCAGCACTCCTAAAGTTTAGAGACAGCCCAGTCTGGTTCAGCTCCTGGCTGGCTGCCACCTCACCTCTGTACATTGTACCCTTGGCTCAGGGCTCAGCAGGATCACTGGAGCCTGGCAGGACCTAACAGACGTAGCCTGTTGATCACAATCCTCTTTGGAACCCTGCATGGACTTGGAAGACCAGGCAGGGAGCCAAAGCCTCAACGAGTGTTCCACATAGCTCTGCTCTGTGGAATGAAACAATCTGAGAACCTCCACCTTCCTGTTCACAAGAGTCCTTGCCTCCTTCCTTTCCCCAAGCAGCCTGTGGGACTCTCGGACACCTGCTATGGGGCCATGTCCACCCTCACTCACCAGCCTAGGGTTGACCTCAGTGGAGATGAGCTTCAGGAGGCAGCTGAGGAGGCGCTGCTTGTGGAAGGAGGCAGGTGGGGAGCCACCGGGGCCCTGGCCCTCGGGACCCAGCACAGCCAGCCAGTCGTACTCCAGCTGCAGCTTGCTTGGCTTTCCCATCATGAGGTAGACTTCGGCCAGTGTCAGGCTCTCAGAGGTCTGCAGGTTCCAGCCCTCCTCGCGGAGCTGCTGTGCCAGGCGGCTGGCAGGGATGTCCTTCGGGGGCTTAACAGAAGGCTGTCCCTGAAGTGGTGGGGGGTCCAGGGGGCTTGCCTTCTCCTGGGGCTCCTCCGAAGGAGCATCTACTGAGTCTTTAGTGCAAACATCTGGCTGGGGCCCTGGGCTGGGCTGAGGCTCCAGGCCAGGTAGGCTGCGGACGGGGGATGGTGCCCTGACCTGGGCAAGGTCTGCCACCTCTGTGCTGCTAGGGATGTGAGTCTCTGGGGAGATGCATGCTGAGGGTCGAGAGTCTGCGCAGTGGCATGGCTCAGGGATGATGAGGTCCTGGCAGGACTTCATGTAGCGGGGGAAGGGGTCCAGGAGAGAGAGCTCATCTTCCAGCTCTGGGAGCTGGCCACAGGCACAGATCGTGGCCCGGGGCTCTTGGGCTGGGCTGCCTCCGCCCTCTACAGGAGCTACCATAGGGGTCTTCTCAAGCTGTACCCCAGTGTCTTGGAGCCCAGGGGGAAGCCTGTCAGGAGCATTCGGGCTGCTGAGGCTTAGGGCAGCCCCTTCCCCAGGGGCACTTTCAGGGGAACTCTCTCCAGAGCTCTGTGAAACATCCGGGGCAGGAGGAGGCCGCCCCCCGCCCTTGCCTTCAGTGCCGCCCCTTGGATACTTCACCTGGCCCCTGGCTGTACCCTGCCCGCTCTGGATGCCCAGGATCTGGGCTGGAGGCAGCGTGTGGGCATCCTTGGAGCTCTGTTTACATCGGCCACCCTCCTGCCAGTGCACTGTGCAGAAGGCCTTGGAGTGCACCACACGAGCCACTCCTGGAAGTGGGGTCAGCGTACAGTTCTCTCCTGGGAACAGGTGCAGCACTACTTTCTCCTGCGACGACTCCACAAATGAGTCCTGCAGCTGCCGCTCCGCAAGTGTCTTTCGCTGAGTGCACTGTCAAGGAACCATGTGCAGCAGTGCCAACCCCTGGGTATCACTGGGCCTTGGGGAAAGCATGACTCAGGCATTTCCTTTGGGGACTTCACGCCTAACACATGCTGTCCTGGCTGGGGACAGGGCAGGGCAGTGAGCTGGCTAAGGAGGAAGAGAAGTCTGGAGCAATCCTTGCCTATTTTGATCAACCTGCTCATAGGCCGGATGGTGGCTACTCCCCACATGGAGAGTTGCTGTGACAGAGCTCTAACACTGCAAGGTAAGAAAAGGGGCTCACACCCAAAACCCAGAGGACAAGGGGCAGTGGGTTTTGGTTCCAGTTCTACACCATCTCACATCACAGCTGCTATACCACACAGGGCCCCAATGTAATCCTCGGTGGGAGGGAGAGGCAGGACATCATTCTAAAGCAGTAGATGCTGTGAAATTTGAGGGGGGAGGGTATTGTTTTAGTAGGAAAAAGATACAATTCGTACTTCATGGAGCTCCCACTTCTGCTTTAAGAATTCAATGAGGCTGGAGACCTTCCGATGCAGCTCCACAATCATCCTATAGGAAACAACAGACGGGAAGAGGAAGGCTGTAACCACAGACACAGAACTGTCTGTACACCCCCAAAGGCTGGTGGCAGCAAGACAATGCCACAGAGATGGAATGGCACTAAGGAGGAGCCAGAGCTACAATGTCCCAGCAGAGCCACTGACTCCTTTTCTTTAAAATTGTTTCTACTTTTTAAAAAAATTATTTTATTAATTATGCTTTTACAGTTGTCCTAATTTTTCCCCCTTTGCTGCACTCCGCCCGGTACCCCCATTCCCTCCAGCAATCCCCACCTTAGTTCATGTCCATGGGTCACGCACACATAAGTTCTGTGGCTATTCCATTTCCTATACTGTTCTTAACATCCCCCGTCTATTTTGTACCTACCAGTTTGTACTTCTTAATCCCTGCACCTTTTCCTCTATCCCCCACCTCCTGTCCCCACCAGCTGATAACCCTCCAAATGATCTCCATATCTGTGATTCTGTTTCTGTTTTGCTTGTTTGCTTAGTTTGTTTTTTAGAGCCAGTTGTTGATAGTTGTGAATTTGTTGCCATTTTAACATTTACAGTTTTTATACCTTTTCTTAAAAATTAACCTTTTAAATTGAGGTAACTAGTGACTCACATGAAGCTGCAAGAAGACAAAGCAGAGACTTGTGTATTCTTTACAATGCAAGATCTCACCCAGGATATGGACCTTGGCACAACCCACCAACATGTTATTATATTAAGCGCCTTTTGAGTTCAAGAGGGGGAGGTATGGCCCGCCTTAAATTAATCCCAAGAATATAAAAATACCTAAGGAAGGAAGGAAGTATGGACATGCTACAACATGTATGAACCTCAAAAACGTAATTAGTGAGAGGACAGACAGAAAGGACCATAATATGTGATTCTACTTGTGTCCAGAAGAGCGAAATCTATAGAGACAGAAGGTAGACTAGTGGTTGCCGGAAGCCAGGCACCAGGGGCAGGGTTTGGGAAGTAATCATTTAGTGGGTACGAGGTTTCCTTCTGGAGTGATAAAAATGTTCTGGTACTAGATAAAAGTGGTATTTGTATAATACTGTGAAGGCATTCGAATGTCCTGAATTGGACACCTTAAAATGGTAATGGTTAATTCTATGTAACATGACTTTTACCTCAATCTAAAAAAAAAAAAAAAAAAAGAAAAAAAAGAAAAGAAAAGAAAAGTGTAATTAGAAAATGGTCTGTATCCAGAGTGGTGCCCTGCCTATAAATCAGACACAAATCTTTATGAAAATAATAAGAGAGAAACAGAAAGGGGACTGGGGGAGGAGGGGAAGAGGGGGGAAAGATTCTGTAGTCATCAACCTGCTAAGCATGACATTTTTCTACATCCTACTCTCTTGGCCCATAACACCCATACCACCAGAACCCCCAATACAGTGCGCGCACACCCTACCCCCATGTTACTCTGGAGCACTGGGTAAAGTCTGCTCACCCAGAGTCCACGGGAACCCAAACACCTCCCTCTAGTCCCATCCCTTGAAGCTGGCCCCTGGCCAAACACCAAAGGCAGTTACCTGAGCCTGGGGTTCTGGGCTAGGCTCTGCACACGGGCCCAGGCATGATTGTTCCTTGGCTGCAGCTCTACAGGGACTCTCAGGGGCAGACGCACTGGCTTCTGGTCCTCTTCATCACTCAAGCCTGTGAGAGAAAGGCGCCATGAGAGCTTGGTAAACAGATCTCCATGCAGAAATCAAAGCGCTTGGCCAGACAACTCAAAGTCAAAGATGAGCCATGGGCAAACGGCCTGGGAGGGAAAGCAGAGCTGGCAGAGAAGCCGCTGAGGACCTGTGCCTAGAGAAGTGCCCATGTAGCCACTAGGGTACCCGCCAAGCCAGAGCCATGACTGGGCCACGTGAGGCCATGAGACTCATTCCTGACACCGACGGCACTCCCTGTGAACGCTGCCGTGGCTTCTGAGCTGACCTTGACTTACCGAGTAGACATACTAGGAAGGTTCAGACACAGAGCTCTGCCTGTCTGTTGCTAAATGGAGCAGTACAGAACACCTCCCCGACCCTACCCCAGACCACCTTTTACATACCATCTGGGTCACAGAGTTTCTTCAAGGCTCGGCACATGGGCGCTTTAATCCGTAGGTTTCTCCCTTTATAACGTACTGTGGTGGCCCTGGGAAAGAGTTTTAAAGGAGTGCTGAGACCTCTAAATGAATAGTAGCTCCCTGTCCAGCACAGGAAGGAGAGGGTCAGCATGCTGATACACACAGAACTCAGAGCAGATGAGGACCCTGGCTGGGCACCCATTCTGGGCACCCATTCTGGCCTCCAGAGCTCCTGCTCAGACCCGTGACTCTGGATTTCCCAATACTTTCCCAATCACACCTCACACTGCAAAAGGGATGACTGCCACTCATAGGAAATGTGTTCTGTCTCCTGCTTGGTAAGTGGTGTGGTATCAGCTGCTGTCCCATGACAATAGAGCTCCTGTCAGACACTAGCTGGTGTGCCTTTCACTCCTATTCCTTAAGAGTCCCTTAAGAGGTTTCAACCCACCTTTATGTGACCTCTTAACCCAGCTCTAGGTGACTGCACTTCCACATTAGCAGGGCCCCCTGGTACCTCTATATATCGCACTATCGGAGGCCTGGGGATATACAGCACTCGCAGCCTGTAAGCACAGGACATCAAGTGTTTGTGCTCCCCACAAGTGACCTTCAGGCAGGTCCAGAGTCAGTAGGGTCTGCCCCAAGTCTATCTGTCATAGCTATTGGTGATGCTCTGTCTGGCAGTAATTTATATGCGCAAATTAAAGAAATACTATAAATGAGTACAAAAGCCACAAATATAGTTCCTTCTAAAAAACATACTTGGCATGCTTTGGCAATATCCAACGAGGGCAGGTTGTTTTTAAAAATGGCAGTCAAGTTAAGTGTGGGCAAGACAACTACGAAAGACTGAGGATGACCTGGAAGCATTCTGCAGTCCCGCTGCTGGTGGGGCCCTTATGCTCCTGTTCATTTGAAAATGGTAAATCACAAATGATGCATCTTGGCTAAAGTTTCTAAAATAAAAACCACCCAGAACTCTGAGGATAACCCCAAAGGCCTTGGCCAGCCACCCTGTGGTTGGTAAATAAATGTAGGTTTGTGTTTACAAAAGTTTCAAGGTCCTTGTATATTGTTTTCATGACTCTGTTTTAACTAACTTTTTAAATTATCCAACTCCAGCTGTGAATCCTAGAGATCCCAGAAAGCCAGCTCTCCCCATTCTGTCAGGAGGAGGGATTCAGAGAGTCCACATGAACAAGCATCACGCTCCACTGATACTGAATACTGTATCTCCCATGGGTTCAGACACTTGAACCCATGGGAGATATAGGCCTGCAAAGTGCTACTGTGGAGGTGTGAATGTGAATGATGTTGGAGCAGGGTTGCAGAGGAGGAAGCTGGGAGTAGAGTTTCAAAAGAGCAATACTTAAGTACCAAGTCAATCCTTAAGCAACCTCCTTACATAAAGGGCTCTGAGCAGAAGTGGACTTTTCTGCCCATCATCATTTTTTGTCGCATCTGTACGCCAAATAAAACAGTAGCAGGCAAGACTTAAAGAGCAGGTGGTGCTGTATCATGTAGCACCTGTGTTTGAGATAATCACATTTTCCGTTAAACTGTTATTTCGTGACTTCCTTTTTTTTTTTAAAGTGAAATTGAACAGCCCTCTTTTTATGACTAGATAACTATTCTGAGAATACAATCCCTTTCCTTCTCTCTCAAATGGAAGTTCTATAAGTAGCCTGAGGCTCGAGCCTGTACAAGGTAAAGCCATGTTCAAACTCACACAGAAAAGGCATCTCAGGCCTGGCCTTGGTCCTGGGACATGGTCCGTACTCCACACCCTCACATACCAGCCACACAACTGAAAGACAGATGAGACTACTAACAGGCCAGGCCAGGGCTTCCCCAGGGCACAGGTGTTTAGAATTCTTCTGTGTGCAGAAAAATCACAGCTTGATCTCTGATGGAACATATGAACACAGAGGGTTCTACCTGAGCCGCAGCAGTTGAGTGTTACTTTCAAAAAAGAGGCAATGGGGTAATACCTGTATGTGCACAGGAGTCTGGCTTTCCTTTCTGAGAGATTTATTTACTTCCCTGTAAAGTTATTTGATAAGTCCAATAAGCATGCTGCTGGGTCTGTGACCAATGTAACAAGGTTTACTTTTGGTGCTTTTCTCAATTCATTTATTCCTTTACCTAATTCTATACTTTTATAACTAAAGGAGATTCATAGTTGAAAAGATCTGCATGAGAAGCAGAAACAGGAAGTTGATTAAATCAAGACACTGTACTAATTTTCCCTCACCCCTGTTTTACCTTTACAGGCTTTTTACTTTGTACATAAAAATTGATGTATATTGGTGAAAGAATAAACACATAAATCAATAGAACAGAATTCAAAGTCTGGAAAGAGGCCCACACAATACATTCAACTGACCTTAGATGATGCAAAAGCAATTAATGGATGAAGAGCGGTCCTTTTGGCAGATGTGGCCTGGACAACTGGACACCCATAGGCCAAAAAAAATGAACCTTGGTATAAACTTAACATCACTTACAAAATTTAACGCAAAGTAAATTGTGGATTTAAACGTCTAACAATAAATCTTTTAGAAGCAAACAGAACATCTTTGTGAACTTATTAAGCAAAGGGTTCTTAGATACAAGGCAAAGGGTACTTAAATACAACACTAAAAGCACCATCTACAAAAGAAAAAAATGCCAAACTGTACTTCATCAAAACTAAACACTCTGCCCTTTGAAAGTCACTAGTAAAGAGAATGACAAGACAAGTTACAAGACTAGGAGAAAATATTTACAAATCACCTGACAAGACTTGTGTCTAGAATATATCAAAAACACTCTAAACTCAACATATGAAAACAGGCACAAGATTTGAATGAACACTTCACCAAAGAAGAGTTGTAGATGGTAACTAAGCACGAGAAAGATGTTTAACATCTTTAGTCATCAGAGAAATGCCACGCACTCGGATGATTCAAAAGGAGAAGAAAACTGAGAACGAGTGTGGGGAGCAACTGGAACCCTCCCTGGAAAGTTGGGGCAGTTCCATATACAGTTAGGCACATACTCACCATCTCTTCTCCTAGGGATGTGCCCAGGAGGAGAACGTTTAAAATTGCTTTTTCTCTATAAACAGCTCTTGCCCTTCACCGGGGAATCGATAAACAGACCACAGAAAAGCCGTATCAGAGATACTACTCCGCAGGAAATGGCACGAACAGATACACACAGCTATACAGGTGGACGTCAAAGTGTATATTGCAGAGTGGAAGTCACCAACCTCAGAAGGCTATATACAGTATTATCCCATTTAGATGACATTCTGGAAAAGGCAGAACTACAGGGAAGGGAGAGCAGCTCAGTGGTTGCTGAGGCTGGGTATGGAGGAGGGGATAATTACAGTGGCACAGTACAAGGGGGTGACCCAATCATTCTATATCTTGATTATGGTGGTACACAACTCCATGAATTTGTAAAAACTCAGAACTATAAGTGAAAGAAGCTGGTCTGAAAAGGCTACCTGCTGCGTGATTCCAGTTCTTTGATCTTCCTGGAAAAAGCAACTATGAAGGCAGTACAAAATCAGAGGCTGCCAGGCCATAGGGAAGAAAGGGATAAATCGATGAAGTACAGGGGATTTCTAGGGCAGTGAAACTGCAGGATCCTGTAACAGTGGATACAGGACAGTGCATTTGTCGAAACCCACAGAATGTACAATACCAAGAGCAAACCCCAATTAAACCATGAATTTGTGAACCCTGAGAAAGAAGATACCTACTAAAAAGGGGTCCTGGTAGCTAACTGGGCTCAAAAAAACCCCAAAAACGAAAAAAACAAACACCACAGAGCCTTGCAGCCATTCCTACACAGGCGCCTCGCATGCAAATTGCACTTCAGGTATAAGTCTTGTACTGAATGGCCTGCCTCTGCACTAAACAGCCTGCCTACCTGCACTGTTTCTGCCATCTGAGCCAGCCCTTACAAAGAAATCCCTGGAATCCTATTTTAACCAATAGGACTCAAGCTTTACCCATCCAATCAGAGCTGTGTCACTCCAACCAACCAAGCTGCTTCATTCTGATCAATCAGGACAGTGGCTTTTGGAGCAAACAAATTGCAAAGCTCTGGAGTCCTCATTTACATGAGGAAAGACCAATCAGGGACCAGGGAGGAGGCTTCTGAACATATAAGCCAGCTCTCCTCTGGTTCTTAGAGTGCACTTTGTCTTTCTACTGAAGACCAAAGACTGTGTTCCCCTGCTGAGCTGAAACACAAAGATGTGTTGCTGAAGCAGAGCGGAGCAGACCAGTCCAGGCCAGAGCAGACTGGCACAAAACAGCAGACTAATGCACAGAGGAACAGACCAGCATAGCACAAAGCAGACCATCAAGGAGCACAGCAGAGTTGTCTGATGGAGAGGGGCCTATCCCCAGGGCTGCTTCAAAGCTGCAGCCATGCTGTATCACAACTGAGCTGTTTTATACCAAATAAAGTTTCCTCTTCACCACACCCCAAATTAGGGAATCCTGTTGGTGTTGAATGGCACCAACAATCATCAGTTGACAGACTTTAGCTAATAATAATGTGTCAATACTGGTTTATCAAGTCTAACAAATGTATCATTTAGTACTAGATGCTCATAACGAGAACATGTGCAGAGGAAGAAGACATATGGGAAACCTCTGTACTCAATACCCAATTTTCCTGTAAACCTAAAATGGCTCTAAAAATAAAGTCTGACCCTGGCTGGTGTGGCTCAGTGGATTGAGTACTGGCCTGTGAACCAAAAGGTTGCCAGTTCGATTCCCAGTCAGGGAATGCCTGGGCACATGCCTGGGTTGCAGGCCAGGTCCCCTGTGCGGGGCATGTGAGAGGCAACCACACATTGATGTTTCTTTCTCTATTTCTTCCTCCCTCCCCCCTCTCTAAAAATAAATAAGAATTTTAAAAATGATTTTTAACATTGACCTTTAAAAATGGTCTTAAAAAAACAAACTTGTAAATAAAAAACCCTGCAGAACTGTATAGCAAAAAGTATATACCTTAAAATATAAATTTAAAAATGGATGATATACAACCTGCCTTGCTCCTACATGGAATGAGAGGAATGCTTTCACACAGAACAAGGGGCTGTTATCCTGAGATTCTTGCCAAGACCACCCAGATACCCAGATCCTTACTTGGCCTGCAGAGGGACCCAGCCCAACCACCCCAGTTCCACTCCTCACCCCCACCTGTCCCTGTCCACAGACACTCCCCACCCTATCCCCCAACACACCAAGAAGATGATTTCTATTCAATGAACTTTATGAGCTGCCCTGCCCCAACCCTATCACCACTGTATATCCAGCACCCACTCTTGTGCCTGGCACCATGTGGGTACTCAGATCCTTCTATGGCTACAGATAAAAACTCTTTCACTGAGCTGGCACAGCACCTCATGCTATTTCAAACCTTTTCTTGGGTGTCTCGGCACCTCTCTGAGAAACGGCGATGTAACAGGTAACGCACCCAAGCCCAGGGCAGCCAGATGAGCAGGTGAGGCCCCTGAGTAAGAGATGGAGGCACCTGAGATGGGTTCCTCACAGCTGGTTCACCGCACACTCCATCCCAGAGTTGGCGATGCATTCACCCACCACTGGCTGAAATCCTATTGACATGAGCAAATGCCCCATTGGTACTGCCTCAATGAACTTCTGATTCCTCAGCCACCTCTCCAACTTTTTTTTCACTGCATACTGCAGGAAAGCCATGCAAGCTACCCTGACACTAACCTCTACAAAAAAGAGCATCTAATTTTACTCTTTACTTCTACTGGTACCTTCAAGTGATGGGTATACAAGTGGCTGCTGTGCTATTTTATCAACTTCTCTGATGTCTGACCTTTTCATAATAAATTTTTCTGAAAGATTAAAAAAGTAGCAGTCTTGCTTCTTACATGCAGAAGGGTTTGTTATATGATGCTCTTCTGTCACAGTGGAGGAAGAAGCTGGCAGCACTGAGCATCAATGTGCTTCTCTCCCCAGGATCTATCAAAGGGTCAATGGGACTCAGACTGAAGAAGGCCAGGGCCTAGCTCAACATACCAACTGGAGTGGAGGCCCTTCCTGAGTTGCAGGCTGGTGAGACTCCTGACAGGAAAGCTCCAATGACAGCAAAGCTCCAATGACAGCAGGAGGAGATCTGTGCTAATGAGCCACACATGAAGGACATGTGACATCCAGATTTTGCTGTGTCTCAAGTGGGGGTGGCCACTGGAGCTTGCAGGCAAGGGGTAAGTAGGAGCTTGTCACCCAGGAGAAAGGGCAGCAGCAGTGAGGAGGAAAGCCCTGTTCCTCAGCAGCATTCCTGAGCTCCCCCTGCACTGGACACTATCACAGGGCCCAGGGGAAGAAGCACGAGATAAGCAGATGATGCAGGGCCTTCTGGCGGACTCCTTAGTCCAGCGCCTCTCAGGCTTTGCCAGAGCCGGCTCCTGCTGGTCTTTGAACCCTGTGGTCTATGGGCCCCACTCACACCACAACTCTCCAAAGGCTCCCAGAGGGTTTTGCCACCAGGTAGGCATAGTGTCCATTCACAACAGGGTCCAACCAAGGCTTAAGCCACATGAGTTACATTTTTGTTGACAGAAATACAGGTAAGAAATAAGACAGAGAGAAACATCAACAGGTTGGTTGCCTCTTGTATGTGCCACGACTGGGGACCAAACCCATAACCTAGGCACCATGCCCTGACCGGGAATTGAACCTGCGACCTTCCGCTTTGTGGGACAATGCCCAACCGAGGCCACACAGGTCAGGGCTGATCATAGCAGTTTAAAATTAATTAAAAACTTATTTCCCCACTATGCAATTTTCCTCTTTTGATAAGATAAAAAGTACATTCTTGATAGGCGTTCAAATTAAAAAAATGTGGAATAGAAAGTCAGGGCACCCATATACCCACCAACTAAAGAGAACCCTGACATGAGGTGGGGGTTATGTGTCCAAATGCCCCATTGGGGCCACACAGCCACACACATATGTGCTCGGCCTCACTTCTGAAAACAACCCTGTCTGAAGCTGAAGCGGCTCTTCCCTCTGCGACACTCCTTTGCTAGCATGAGCACCATTGTGATACACAACATCACAAGAATGCCTTGCCCTGATCTAGTCATTTCCTAGAAGTGGGACTGCTGGCAGAGGGTTCACACGCTTAGGAGTGGGACGTTACAAACTCACAGTCCTTTCTCACTGTCTGCAAACATGATCAGCAACAACGCTGACTGAGACTTCTCCATCCAGTCATGAAGTGTGATGCTGTTTTAATTTGCCTTTCTTCTCACTTTGAGCAAAATGTAGTGGGAGTGGCACAGGAGAGGGTTCTGGGAAGGCTGGTGGTATAACATTTTATTCTGTTTCTTGACCTGGGTGGGACCACTTTGTGAAAACTCAGGAGCTGTGCACTTCGGGTCTATACGTTATCCTGCAGGTTCATCATACTTCAATTTAATGTTCACAGAAACAGCATTGTAATTCTGATTGCAATTGCACGTATTTGTATATTAATTTAATGAGAGCACACATCTTTATAGTGTCGTTGTTTCTTCATGCCACCAACCTGGCTTATCACTGTTCGTGTAGTAGACCTTGATCTGGCTGAAACTATGTCTGTCAGGTATCTCGTCTCTATGTTCCTCCCCCCTTCCTGTACTATCCTATTTATGAAAATGTCATTGCTAACAGTCCATACTTAAGGAAAGAGAGTATCTAGATAAATTATGTGGAATTCTCCATGGGAGATTTGCATCTTGTCCTTTATTCATTCAATTATCAATTCTATCAATATGGACTCATGGAAATCTATGTTTTATATAAGCTGTAACCTCATACTACATTACTAAGTAAGGATTCAAAGCACATACATGATGTAGATGCTCCTCCTGAATCCCTGATGGTTTGGAACCATTTCACCTGGGGCTTCACTGAGGCAGCTCCTTGCTGAGACTGAGAAGTCTCAGCTCAGCTCCCGGGGTTGTCAGTACCGTCAGGCTTTCGGCTCAGGGCCTTGGTGCTCTCCAATCCCAAGCGGCCCCTAAAACCAACCTTCTGGCCATTTTCAAGTTTGTCAAAAACATGCCTTCCTCATACCCCCATCAGACAGGATGTATCAGGCATGCATGTCCCTCTAGATACCCAAGACAGTCTCTCACTCTCCTGTAGGACTACCTCTTTTCTGAGCTATCACAAAAAATAAGTAAGAAAATACCCTAAGACAAAGCCAAGCAAGCTCACTGCTTTTTGATCAAACCAGCCATAAACACCCAAGAAAAGAGCCAGAACATCCACTCACCCAACACATCTGGGGCAACTGAAATAAAGGGTGACATGAGATTTACCACCAAAATTGTATCCCAGGGGAAGTAGATTCCCTTGGGGTGGGGTAGGGTGGTAACTGGTGAGACAGTAACATTAGAGACCACCTCAGCCAATGATCTTTCCTCTACTTAACAAGGTTCCTCAGATGCACACTACACCAGTCAAATGTCCCAGATCTTGGAGCAAAAACAGCTTCAATCTGACAAATATAGGGCAGGTACAAGGGTGGGAAATAAGATGAAATGTTGAAGCTGTAACAGGCAAATGGGGTGTGAGGGTAACAAATGACTCACAAGGCCATGGCCAGTGGCCTCTTCCTACTTGCCTGACCGTACTCTACATACCTCTCGGAGGCTCCCTTTGGCCAGTGCCACCAGTTGTTAAAGACTACCCATACTCCCTAAAAGCTGGAGTGAATCACTGCTCTTCTGCACAGTGGTGATATGGACCTCCTAGTTACTATCAGGACTGGCTGCAAAAGGGTGGCAGTTCATAGAGATAAAGCCTCAAGAATAGAACACGGGCATCTGTAAGGAAAGACGCTGGGCTGGAGCCAGAGCAGAACCACACACAGCCAGCCCTACCTGGCAGAAGCTCCCACCTGAGAAAAAGGGGCTTGCAAGCTGTCCAACCCCAGGCTGGGGAGACAAGAACCAGAGGTTCAGGAAGGCAATATCCTGTGGATGTAGCAGAGGTCAGAGGTCAATGTTCCATTAGACAGCTCAACCTACAGGACAGCTGGACTTTGACCAGCAGGGGTCTTGGGTGGTAGGGAAGTTCATCCGCGACAAGGAACAGAGAGGTCCGGGTGAGAGCACAGAAGCTCTGGTGGGGTGAGTGGGAGCGACAGGTAGGTATTTCGAGTTCTGTATTTCAGCAAACTGCTAACGCCCAAGAGGAGCAGGTGGTGTCTCACAATACAACTTGTACTTACCCAACCTGAATGAGTTCATTCAACTTTGTGGCATTCTTGTCATCCATACCTTTAAACAGAAAAAGAAAAAAACATGACCTTGAAGCAGTTAGGAACAAAATTGGTAAAGGTTGCCATATACTTATCTTTTATCTTCCTTGTAGAATACAAAATGATTTACAAAATAAAACCTCTGCATTAGCAGCAGCCCCTCCCTCAAAGTCAAAACAAGAAGTCATCTGTGCTGTGTGTGCTGACCCCACGTGCATGTCCTCTCCACCCACCCAGTTTCTCAGTGGGACCAATACCTGTCTCAGTACAGATAATCATTCTTCCCAAAAACTTACTCTCAGACACCAGGCTATGCTGAACCTCCACTTGTCCCCAGCTGCCTATTTCAGAGACTCATTCCTCAGGGTAACTACTGTGCCCTGTGCATGCTTCTCCTGCTGGGCTCTTGTGCTACTTGCATGCCTTCCTTAGTCAGCATTGAGCCCAAGGGTTCCAGAGTCTGCTGGGTGATGAGCCTAGACCCCGTGCATTTACTCTGCCCTCCTGGTACTCAGCGATGTCCTCAGGAAATGAGAGAAAGCAAGTATAGTAACCAGGTAATGGGAAAATCTAGGTGGTAGGTGTTCGAGTGCTCACTGTAAAAGTTTTTGAACTCTTCTATGTATTTTGGGGGAAAAATAAGCCACAGACAACTGAAAATGAAAGAAAAAGAAAAAAACCTTACAAGCAGACAGAGGAAGAAAAACATTCCCTCTAGAGGAACAAGGACACAAATGTGACCTCTCACTAGAAACCATGCAGGCCACAGATGATGAAACATTTTTAAAGTGATAAAAGAAAAAAAAAAAAAAACACTGCCAATCAGAATTCTACACCCAGCAGAAGTATCTTAAGAATAAAGACTAAATAAACACTTTTCAGATAAATAACTACAAGAATTTATGGCCAAGACAACTACACAAGGAAGACTAAAGTCAGTTCTGCAGGTTGAATTGAAGGGAAACAGTACCACATGGAAATGGTCCTCAGGAAAGAAGGGACAGCCTATGAGAGGGCGAATGTATAGACTCTCTCATTAAACAAAGAGGTAACACACAGACCTGCCTTCAGATGATAATAAATCAAACAAGCACCCATGAGTATAAGTGGCAGTTGTGACAGTGCATGAAGAGAGGGGCTGAGCGCTGAGAGGTGAATGACATGGAGGCCCAGCCTGTTGTGGAGGTTTGTGGACATTCGAGCTGAGATAAAAGGATAGGCAGGAGTTCACAGGCAAAGGGGAGGGAAGGGCCCATCATCCTGTGTCTAGCAGGTGGGAGAGACACGACAGAAGGCTGGGTAGGCAGAACCATAACTTTGGGGTTTGAGTCATCAAATGGGGCACCATCCAAGAAACTACCCTTCAAAGAAAAGAACCAACCGGGGAGTACTACAGGTAGCTGTGGTGTCTTCTTCTCACTGTGTCCCAACATCAGTGCTGTGGCAGAAAGACTAAGCACAGGGTGTAAGAATCAGACCTACGGCCAGCGTGGGACCTTGCCACTTAATAGCCAAGGAGGCTTGACGTCATTCGTTTTTCATCAAAACGCCCTCAGCCCTTTTACAGACGGGGACAACGCCATCTCACATAGCTATTTAGATGCTTGACACAATGTGATATGTGTCAAAGTCCCTGGGATTTGGCAGAGACTCAAAGTCTACTATTTCAGAATTGACATGTGCCTGAGTATCTGCTTGAAAAAGGCATTAATAAAAAGCAGGCTCTGACCTCCTGAGTGCTCAGACATTTTCTGAATAGTCCAGAAAGAGTTACCACTGAGCAGATGTGAGAGGCTGCCATGTGCTGGGCACTCTGCAGAAGGCTGCATGTGGAAGCATGTCTTCTGAAAAGATTTCATGAAATGACAGAATAGTGTTCCAGCACATGATCAGTGGATAGTGGCTCAGAGGGAGAAGCTCCACCAGGATGTGTGTACATGTGAACATGTACAAGTATGAAGTGTAGCAGGGCTGAGAGTGATGACCAGTCATTGTGGACAGGACTGAACAGCCAAGGTGGAGGGGTGCCCACCAGGGAGACAAACTGAAGTCCAAATGCAGAGGCCCCTTGGGTCAGGGAGACAAGTGATACACCAGGGGCAACATGAAGTGACCCAAGGTCATGGCACCAACAAAAGGATGAGGGCAAAGACTCATGGGAATCAGAGACTAGCTGAAAGTTTCTGGCTGAGTGGCACAGATATGGCAAGGAGAGAGGAGGGGCCATGGCATCCTTACCAAAGAAGGTGATACCCAACATGCTGCCATGACCAGAAACATTTTAGGTCTAGGACAGAGAAAAGGACACAGTGGAGAAAGTAGATATTCAAGGGAGGTGAGGCCCAGAGCCCCTCTCAACAGACCATTCATAGCAGGAGCTGGGAGAGGTTTACAAAGAAATACTCAAACTGTGGGAAGGATGAAATGGACAACCAGGACGCCTGTTCTGTTTGGAGCCTCTGAGGCATTCTTGCCTGTTTTAGAAGAGGGGAATTCACCCAACACAGGCCAGAAGTGCAGAACTACAGCTGAAAGCCCATCATCCCCGCCCTGCTGCTGCCTGCACACCTCCAGCCACCTGCCACTCAGCTGTGACATATTACATGACTGGTAAGATGATGGCTTATGGTTTTTTCATATTATGTCATTTAACATTCAGAGTGGCCCTGTGGGTATGTGACAAGCAGACAGGTGGCATCTGCAGAGGCAAGGTTGTACCCTTTGGTCTGTGATCACACAGGGAGGCAAGGTAGAGATGCAAGATGCTGGGCGCAGGTGCCTCAGGAAAGCCAGAGTGCTCTCTATATCTAAAGAGAATCTAATCACTATCAGAGGATCAGAACATTACAAAGGGAGGGGCCTGGGCCCTTCAAAGTACCAGTGCCACCAAAGACCAAAGCGTGGGGGCTGTTCTAGGTCAAAAGACTTAAGGGACATGACAGCTACAAGCAGGGCAATGTCCTCAACAGGAGCCTAGCTGGTATGCTGGGATGTGCTGGAAAATCTGAATATGGGCAGAGTATTAGGTAAGACTGTGGTGCCTATCTGATAAATGTGAAATGCTAGGTGTGATAATAGTATTGTGGATATGTAGGAGAATGTCCTTGTTCTCGGGTGACAGAGGCTGAGGAATTCAGTGGTATGCTACGATGTGTGCAACTTAGTCAAATGGCTGAGCAGGGAAAAAAGCAAGTATGTAGAGAGGGATAGAGTGCACACAGAAAACATGACAAACGTTATGGACTGGGAAATATAACAGCAGGTATGTGGTGGTCATTACATTTTTCTTCAGTGTTTCTGTACAGTAAAATGTTTAAGATGTAATTTGAAGGGAATACAGAAGAGCCACCAGGATTCAAAGACCCAACAGTGCCAGGACAGCAGGCCCTGCCAGGAGGAGCCATGAGTGCTTTGTGGAAGGCTGAGTCACTTCTGAAGCTGCCAGCATGGCTGGGACAACATCGGTGGCTCATACTCACAGCCCCCAATCTTCTTGCGTAGCTCCCCGTAGCAGATCAGACCATACAGCTCCTGGGATGACTTCTTCAGCCCTCGAGAGAACACTGAAAGACAGGAAATGATAACACTTTAGAAGGGGGAAAACACAGCAGTTCCGGGGTTGTCAGCTTGTGTGTACCAGCACAGCACTGAGGGAAGACTGAATGCTGCTGATTTCTCAGTTTTGCTTACTGCACCTTGGAACCGGAGAATGTTAACATCAGGGGAGACTAGGCTAAGAGTATACAAGAACACAGTGCTGTTTTTGTTAATTTTCAAAAGAAGTTAAAACAAGAAAAAATGGGGGGGGGGGGGGGGTAAAAACTAGCCCTAACAGATAGGTCAGTGTCCCCTGGGAGAAAACAAGATACCCAGCACAGCTGGCTCCAAGGAGGTAGAAAAGCTGGAATGTGACCATCGCCAAATTTGTCACCCACCTCTCTCCACACATGAAGAATCTGCTTGAGCTCCATGTGAGGTGCGCAGCCCTGGAACTGTGGAAGCTGACCTGTCGTTGCCTCCTCTGACCAATGGTCAACACGCCCCAGGCCTGGGGTCAGACCAGAGAACTGTGGCTCAAATGCTTGAGACTGCTAACTGATTCACCCGTGTTCCCTAGTAGCAGGACCAGTTATATTCGGGAAGCAACACATGGATAAGGCAGCACATGTCTCATTCAGCCTGCCCTTCGGCTAGATGTGGCCACATCACTAAGTCCTGACCTTTGGAGGAAGGAAAAGTATTGTGGAAGACTTCTGAAAGGCTCCTTAAAAGACAGATTTGGGCAGGATTATGCTCACTTTTTCCTTCAGAACTGCTGTCTAGGGCTGTCTTGGTCACAGCTAAGCACTAAGGATGGCAAAGCAGAGAGACGGGATGACCTGTGTCCTCAATGCCTGCCCTGGACCACCTAATGCAGACATCTCTGACATGAGAGAATAAACTCTTACATTCTTAAGACATTATTTTGAGTTTTTGTAGTCTATGAAGCCAAATCTAATTTTGATATAGAGGCCCAGCCACAGCACAGTCTAGGCATCTTTTAGGTCATCTCACAGAGCAGCAACCAATGTCATTTGCCCATCACCCTGACAACTGTTCCTTCCCAGAGACCCCTTATCAAAGTCCTAACATTCAGGCTGTGTGACTATAGCAACAGAAAATGAAAAGAAAAATATATTAGCAAATGGAGACTAAGACTTTAAATAAATAATTTAAAACAAGGATCCCGAACGTTGGACAGGCTCTAAGAAGCCTAGGACTCTGCCAACGTTGTAAACCAACCATTTCAGAATGTTCTCCTGCAAGAAAGACCCATAAATGTAACTGGACTCTCACAGGGGACCACAACTCAGGACACTTTAAGATCTACTATTCAATGAATGAACAAATGTGGTCTCTCCGGATAATGGAATATTATTCAGCCATAATAAGGAATGAAGTTCTAACATAGCTACAACCTGAACTAACCTGAAAAACATCAGGTTAATAAAAGAATTCAGGCACCAAAGGCCACATATGATTCATTTTACATGAAATGTCCAGCATAGGCAAATCCAGAGACAGAAAGCGGACTACAGATGTCAGGGGCTGGGAGACGGCCTAGAAATAGCTAGACAGTGCCAATCCTAATGTAACTGCCAGTACAGCACAAAGACGCAGAAGAGTCCTCAGGGTTGATGCGGTCAACCAGCTGCCACTAGCTTGGAGACATTACCAGGACCAGCTAAAGAACCTTAGTTGAGCCACCAGCTCAACAGAAAAGCAGTGCTCCTCATGCTGTCACACCAGGACGCCACCAGGGAAAAGATGTGGAATAATGAGATGCCAAGAAGGCAGGAAACAGAGGGGAGGGAGGGAAGGAAATAGAGGCCACACTGCAGAGAAGCAAGAAAGGACACAAGCTGGGTCCATCCCATAGAGCTTGCCGTGGAACCAAGGTGCAGCGTGGGAGCTGAACTTGAGGGTGGCAGACTCATACTCTTCATCCCTGACTTGGAAAAAGGGCCAAAGAGGAATGACACCTCCAGGGACAAAGGGAGGCGCTCAGGAGGTTGTCTAGCAGGGAGAGGTAACAAATACTTAGAAAAGAAACATTCCTGTAAGTCACCTCTGAAACCTACAGAGGAAAAAGCCCGAGTGTGGCAGGCCCAGCAACATGCCAGACCTCACAAGCAGTAAATGAGACCATGTCTACACAGGGCACCTAAGCTTCCCCTGCAACACTGCCTACTCTGCCAGGAGTATGCTCACGCCAAAAGGACGGAACATGCTAGTTAATGGCTCCTGGAATCCTGTCACCCTTCCTTCCACACTTTATCACCAATAGCTTCTCAATCCTCCCACACATTGGTGACTGCCTTTCTCTTTGGAGGAGAGCTTTTCCAGAAGAGTCAAAGTGGATGAAGGACCTGCTCTCAAGGACTGACTTTCATGAAGTTACCAAAGAATATAATATGTAACAAAAAAAGAAAAAATGTAAAAGACAACACAGCCCTGGCTAGGTAGCTCAGTTGGTCATCCCGATACACCAAGGTTGTGGGTTCACTCCCTGGTCAGGGCACATAGAAGAAAAAAAACCAATGACTGCATAAATCAGTGGAACAACAGACTGAAGCCTGTCTGCCTGTCTCTCTCTCAAAAAACCAATAAAGAAATTTAAAAAGACACTACAGAAAGAGCCAAACAGCTGAAACTCACTCCCATATGCCACCCAGAAAGGTAGGGAGGGTGTCTGTGAAGACAACAGATATTAACAGCACTGGACTCAGTAGGATAACTCAAATAAGCTAGTGATCTGAGAAACAGTTGCAGGTATGGCTAAGCACAGCAGCACACACACAGATGGTATGCTCACAACCAAGAGAAAAAAACATTGCTGACTTGTCATATGCCAAAGCCAGCCCAGAATCTTAACATTAATTGTCACATGGACAACGAAAGCAGTATACGAAACAGTATTAGCAAAAGACCTACCCAGTCAGACCAAGGGACTGCCCCCAAAATGTGGACACCAATAGCCCATTTCCGTGGGTCTCTAGAACATGGTAATCTTACGTAAACAAATATTCTGTTAAAAGATCTTCAACACAATGTTCTTTTTGTGTTGTATTTATCTCATAATGACAAACCTGCTGGCCAGAAAGCCCCCTGCAGCTAGAGGGACCGGAGTTAGGGCAGTGAGCCCTCCTACAAGGCAGCCCCCTGGTTACATATAGTAAATGCTGAGACATTTGTCCTCAGCAAGGACTGGAAAAAAGATACTCCATGAGATTGCCAGTGGAAGGCTTTGAAGCCAAAAAGATACCTTTAAACAACTAGTGATAAACAAGGGCATTACTGGCAGAGAGAACCTGGTGGTGCCATACACTAGCTCAGAGGACAAAGGCACTTCACATTGGGTCTTGCCATGAAAATGGGTCTTGCTGTGAGCAGAATGCACTTCACTGCCAGGAGCTCCTTCCTGCATTTTTCAAGGACAGAACCAGATGGGAAATACGGCAAGCAGGAGACAGAGACCCAGGCTACCGGTTTTCACCTTCCCAGAAAATCAGCACTCATGACAAGATGCTCACAATGAGAAAGACTGACTTTCAGGAAGTAACTAAAAAAATATGATATGCAACAAAAAGAAAAGTGTAAAACGCAACACAGAAAGAGCCAAAGAGCTGAAACTCATCCCCATGTGCCACACAAACTTAGTTACCCCAACTGTGTGAAGTTAGCTGAAGAAAGTACTTCTGGCCCTGGCCAGGTGGCTCAGTTAATTGTAGCATTGTCCCTTACACCAAAAAAGCTGCAGGTCTGATCCCCAGTCAGGAAGCATAAGGAAAGCAACAGATCAATGTGTCTCCCACATCAATGTTTTCCCTCTCTCTCCCTCTCTCTAAAATCAATAAACATATCCTCAGTGAGGATTTTTAAAAAAGTACCTCTGAAGGAACGAAGCAGCACTGTATAAATAAAGACGTTCACATGCCCACATATGTGTTATTTAAAAACACTGAAAGTGTCCCTGGCCAGTGTGGCTCAATTGGTTGGAACAACCTCCCATAACCAAAAGGTTGCTGGTTCGATTCCCAGTTAGGGCACATACCTAGCTTGTGGGTTCCAACCCGGCCTGGGCACATATGGGAGGCAACCAATTGATGTTTTCTCTCATATCACTGTTTCTCTCCCTCTCTCTCTCAAAGCAATGAAAAAAGGTCCTTGGGTGAGGAGGGGAAAAAAAAACAAACCCACTAGAAGTAGATTGCAAGTCCAAAAGGAAAGGTAAAATGTATTCATTTATAAACATCAACTCAAAGAATTAACATTTAATGAACAACATGAAGAAATTCTACAGCAATATGAAGAGGTGGTGTGAAAATACTACATTTACAGAAGATAAAGATGATGGGATGCTGGTTGGCTTAGAGCTCAGCTCCTCAGCTTATTGGCTGAGTGACTTGGGACAGGGCCTCCACGGCTAAACCAGGGTTTTCTCATCTGCAGTAAGGGCGATATCACCTCTAGGGAAGAGTACGTGACATGCTCAACAACGAGCACAGAGCAGGCCCACAAGCAGGTGGCAGCAGGGGCAGAAGAGGATTCATGGAAGGATTTTTGGGAGTACTGAAATGAAAGCTCAGTCTTGGAATGTGAACGGGGTTACAGAGTCTGATGGTAGGGGTGGCAGGAGTCAAGGCACAAAAGGAAGTACAGTTTAGCAGCAGGGTGGCAACCCCATCCTGGGAGCAGGTCAGGATAAGGGTGTGGGGCAAGGCAGGGGGAGGGGACTCAGGCAGACATGGGTCTTCTTTGGATGATGCTATGCAGAAAGTGGGTTGGGAAGGACAGGACCAGAGCAAGGGAGAACAATGATCTAGAAAAGGATGGAAGGGGAGTGGGTGGTGAGGACGGGTGAGACAAACTCTAAGGTAGACTCAGCAAGACCATGACTGGTAAGAGGAGAGATGTCAATGAAGTTTCAAAGGGAAACATATTCAGGGGCAGTATCAACTAACTACTATGACTGCCTGGAGCTTGAGCACCCAGTTGTGTGGGCAGAGAGTAAGGATTTATCCAGGGTGGGGTCAGTAAACAATGGCTCCCATGGCCTCTTTCTATAAATAAAGTTTTGCTGAAACACAGCAACACACATTCATTTACACTGTATCTACAATGAACTAGGACAGCAGAGTGAAGTCATTTTTATAAAGACTGTAAATTCCCAAAGCCAAAAATATTCATCATCTGACCCTTTACAAAAAAGACTAAGCTTGATTCAAGCTCTCTGGGCCTTTCTAAAGCAGAGGAGGAAGTCCTGGTTCTGATGTCCTGATGGATCAGTTGGTGATACTGAGTCCAGTTGGCTGACACACAATGACCAGAACACTGAAGGGTGGGGCAAAAAGAGAAACACAGTAAGGGAAGAGGGCCACCATGAAGGACTTATGGCATAGGTTTAAAGAGGGTATTACCACAGCTATCACAGGTATTCTGGATCAGAAGTGAATTATTATTTGAAGAGAAGCATGAGAAATAAGCAAAGTCAGTATAAGCAAATGTCTGGAATGTCTGACCAATAACCGAAGCTGTTTGTAAGTGAAGAGTAAGACTGAAGAAGATGAAACTGAATACGGAGAGGGGGGAATGACATGAAGACCCAATTCTCCTCACATGCGGAGACAGGAGGCAATGCCTCCCCTGAGGACAGAAATGTGAATCAGAAAGAGTGCCCTGAGCCAGAAATCAGAACTGTACCTGGCAATGACTTAGACATATGAATTAAAGACGCAAATCTTGATTCAAAGACAGATGGTAAGAGACTTGGGAAAGGGAGCCCTTCATCCGTGGGTGACATGCAATAGGCTTTGGCAATCCTAACCCCAATGAGACCCCACTGGGGAGAGAAGAACTGGAGGGGTCCAATTCTGGCCTCTCCTCATTGACTGTGCTGTCCCTCCTCACAGTGGGGGACACAGGCCCATGGCAAGCCAGGGACCCAGACACCACAGGCACTCAGAACCATCAGAAACAGGCACAGCTTCTTTGTAACTCTGCCTGACCAAATTACTACATGTGTGTACCACCAGCCCAAGTGCTGCAAGACAAGAACATCCCAGGCCATGTGTCTGGGCAAAAATGGCACCGAAGTGTGTGTCCTGTGACTCCAAGAACCCCGCTCCTGACCAGAACCCACCCCCACCTCCCAGCCTCCCGAGACTGAGCTGCACATGCTCACCATTGTCAAAGTCGATGTACTTGGTGATCTTGTGCCACGTGCGGTAGTAGAAATGTCGCACCTGCTCCTTGTTCTTCACCATGCTGGCGGGCTTGCCTTTCTTCTTATACTTGAGGGCTATGTTGTTCTGGATTGCTTCAAAGTCTTTCCCATGCTGGAAAATAAGTCCATGGTAAAAGCAGAGTTTAAAATAAGCAGCCTTCTGTACAACACGGACAGTTCAAGAGAAAGGGGACCAAGGTGATCAAGCAAGTTTCCTTCATAGCTCTTATCTGTGCACCAACTTCAACTTCACTTCCCTAGAACCTCAGGTTTTCATCATAATAACAGCTAAAAGCAGCAATGGAAACTCAGGGATGGAACTCTCGCAAGAGTGGATATCAAGAGGCAACGGCCCTGGAACAGGAGAAACATAAAGTTTATCACTCAGACAAACGGCTTAATCCCTGAAGTTCTTCAGAGACCCTGGAATGAGACGGTTCCATGAAGATAATCATCAGAAGACAGAACACGATGACTGGGAAGCTCAGGGGGTTGTGTATCTGGCATCTTAAAAGACACTGACTATTCAGAAACACCCTTACTGCCTCCATCATACAAAATATATTCTATATTCAAACAGGGATAGCAAATTTGAACATTTAACAAGAGAATCAATCACACAGACTATGCTCGGGATACATCTGTGGGCCGGCCCTTCATTCAATACCTCCATGCAAAAGCTGAATTCATCTTAGATTTTCAGAACAGAATTTATGTCCCAGAGAACAGTCATCATCTTTGCTATTTCTGGTACTTTCAAATCAACCTACTGTTGATACTCTCATCAGAACCAAGCTAGTAAGAAGTACTGGGAAGGGCCTAGAGGTAACGGCAGGCACCCCAGCATCAACAAACACCCTTAGCTTCTTAATCCCATTTTCCAAAGGGAACTACGGCTCCTTAAAGAAATTAATGCTGCCATATCTGGGACAAGGAAAGTACCAGGTCAGTCTGGAGTATCTTGTGTGCCAGAAAGTGAGGATGTGCTCAAAGTACAATAGAAATGTGTTGAAAGCACACAGAAGCCAACTTGAAGAAGCTACCAGTGGCCAAATCTACAATTTGAGTGACAAAATCAATAACAACAATGAACATCAACTGTAAGTAAAAAATAAAAGGAAAAAAAAACCATGGTAAGAATGGATTATGATGTAAAGAATAATGTAAATATCCCTGAGTCCATACAAATATAAGCAACTGAATAAATACATAAATGGAGAAGGGAGTGCTTTTCCTTGCATTGGGTTTCTAATTAATAAATGTAGACATAATGGAGTCAGAAGATCATCACTGGGCAAACATCATAGTAACGGCTGTTTCAGGGAAAAAGCTGCAGTGGTGGCTAAAATTAGTGGGAGAAAGAAAAATGAGAAACAGAGTGCTTACATAGCCTCAAAGTAAAAAAATTACTTTGCAGTGGAGAACCCGGGAGACGCGACCGGAATGCAGTGATCATGTTCACACCACCAGGATAGAGTCAGCACCCCAAACTCCGGATAGGATGCTTCAAGGACAGCACGGCATTCCTGTGGTTCTCTTGACAAAAACGCAAACTGGAACAATTAAATCATGGAGGAAGCCTCAGTAAGCCTACACTAAGTGGTGTTCTACAAACTGACAGTCTAGGAGTCTTCAAAAGTGTCAGTGTCATCATGAGTGGAAAAAAAGGGAGACAGAGCACCCGTCCCAGGCTGAAGGACTTAGCAGTCACAACAACTAAATGCAATGTGGGACCCTCATCCAGAAAGAACACCTGTGGAAATACCAGCTCAATGTGAGTAAGCCCTGTAGGTCAGTAAATGTATGGTACCCCCACATCTCCTCATCTGCAGGTCATAACGCAGTTATGTGAATGTTAGGGAAGCAGGGTGAAGGGCATTTGAAGTTCTTTGTACTCTTTTTTACAACTTTTTTCCAAGTCTGAAATTGTTTCAAAGTGAAAAGGTAAAAAAAAAAAACCCAAAAAACAAAAACCTAGAAGAATTAAAGCCTGTTCATTCCTTTTTAAAAAAATGTAATGGCAGGTAAAATGTAAAAAGGCAAAGCTTTGTCTGAAATGCTTTCCTCCAGGGTCCAGGTCAGGTGCTGCCTCCCCTATAAAACTTCTCTTACATCCTGATCAGAATTGTGACTGAAACAGTGCAACAGCCTCTCAATCTCATGACTTCATTCTGCAGCTGGAATAACAAACCCAGAAACTTGAACTGACTTACCAGGTAGGAACTAGATTCTGGGTTTTGTGATCCAATGTTCTAAAACTATACTGCCTTCTGAATTCTTGTAGCATGTTAGTGCTTGCTTTCCAATGGTCCAACTTTTTATGTGTCTGCTACATTTACCAAATTAGATTGTCAGCCCGCATAAGAGGGAACTTCTTTGCATTTCTAGCATTATAATAGTGTTCTATACTTAGATGAGACTTTCAGCAACTATCACCCCGGTAATCAATAAGCACAGGATGCTGGCCTTATGACTGAAGGTAAGGTAGAAATCAGGAATTTTATGGCAGAAGCAAATACACAGACAAACAGATACAAGAAGGGAAAATGAAAAGCTGATAATAGGCTTTGTGAAGAACTGCCACTGAAATGGAGTAAGAGGATGTCAAGAATGATGATGTGGGTCCAGGCATTCATTCTGGTGCACCCCCCCTTCTCTGTCATGGGGGCCATGACCTGTGATTACGGCCACAGGGAGAAATCTGGGGTGGGCACAGCCAATTTGGGTCCTCCCCAGACTGTGCTAACTAGAACAGGGGTGGGACTCTTGCCTCTACGGAGTGTCTGAAACTGGAGAGAATAAGCACAGAAATGTCATCTTCAGTGCAAGAGGATGACAGAGAGAGGACAGATGATATGGCCAGTTTGAGCCAGCCCCTCCCTGTCCTTGCCCAGGCATGAGAATCACTCAATCCCCTTGTCTCTTTATGCTGCTGAGCTGGGTCTCTGTCACATGACTTGTGTGCATCAGAAAGGCGGGGACAACCTGGACCAACACTGCAGAAGCTTTTCTCATAGAGCAGAGGCCTTTACCCTCATTTTCCACAGTTCAAGATATTCATCGTCATATATGCCCCAGCTAATCAGCCATACGTCAAGACCCCATGAGAGTCCCACTGAGTTTTGGTCAGACACGCAAAATGACAACACATAAAAACAATGCTCACATTCTCTTCATCTCGCGCCCTCTTCAACACACACACAAATACACATACACATACTCTCACACTATTTGGGATATACAGTACCAACAGTGGAAAGCATTAAGTAATCAGAATAGCCAATTATTATTAATCAAGGGATTCAGGTGAACTCAAAAGAAATACTTAGTAGAAAAACTAGAACAAGAAGCCTAGCCCAAAGAGAAGAAAATAAACTAATCCCCCTGAAGAAAGGTAAGGGGAGGTCATTCATGGGAATTCTTCCCCTCCTACTTTTAGTTAACAACCACATCTCCTGTTGCTTTCTTCAGCCAGGCACCCTGCGAAGCCCAAGAAGGAAGGCCCACAATAAAGCAGTAACTGTCTCAGCTTAGCATCAGCAATAGTTGCTATTCTAAAAACATTCCAGGAATCACAAGTCTTGTATACCTGACAAAAGGCAATTTAGTGATATATTCTATACAAAAACAACCTCTGTACTGTAAAGTTGTCAAAGAGGAAAAAAAGAACACATCTGAACTCATCTGAATGACTCCGCACCTACCAGAGCAAGCCTCAGTTGTGCACTTCTTTCTCTCCTTGGACAACTGAGTCAAACAACACCAAAACATTCGCCTCCTCCATCCTGATGGGCAGACTAAATAAACCATCAGCCCCAAGAAGGGAGAAGACCAGTCATAGGAGTGTTTCAAGTTCTAGTTCTCTGCCTCCACTTACGAGTCTCTTTTTCTGGTCTATGAGCACTTCGTGGTTTCAATTCCAAAGCCTCCTTCCTTTATTGAGCCTGTTCTATTGCTCTAATACTTTTACTATTAAAAAAATAAGGCTCATTAAGTGAACAACCTACTTTAGATACCATAGCCCAAAGATGTATCCTAAAATACCGTATGTACACAAGATATTTCTAACAGAATCTGGAAGGAACAACAACAATCAACAACACAATGGTTAACTGGAGTAAGGCTTGGCGAGAAAGTTAACACTTCAATGTTGTGGGCCACTCAGTATCTACCATAACTGCTCAACTCTACCACTGCAATAAAAATTGGCCAGAGACAATATACAAGTGAATGGGCATGGCTGTGTTCCAATAAAACTTTGTTTACAAAAATAGGCAGAGAATACGCAGACCACAGATTTGCCTACACTTGGAACGGAATATTTATAGGAATGAAAAAAATACTGAACAAAAGAACTATGAATGTCAAAAACGCATGTGACAATTAAAAAAGCACGCTCACTATAATTACAAAGATTTGAAAAAAACAAAACACAAAAGTGAAAAAGGCTGGCAGGGAGCATGACCATTTCTTTTGAGGTGTGGTATCAGGCAGCAGCTTTTCTCTATTTTTAGGACTTTCTATAGTTTGTCCCAGGTCAGCTGCAATGTCTCTCAGGGCTGAACTGGCTGCTCTAACTGATGTGACAAGTAACCCTATGGCTCTCCCCCTCAGGGGACATCCCCTCCCCATCAGCCCATTCAGCTACAAGGGAAGGCCTAGAGAGAAGGGTACCACTACTCAGCCAAGAATACGTTTGACCTGGTTGGGTAGATTAGTTGATTAGAGTATCATCCTGATACACCAAGGTTGCAGGTTTGATCCCTGGTCAGGGCACATAAAAGAATCCACCAAAGAATGCATGAATAAGTGGAACAACAAATCAATGTCTCTCTCTCTCCTACTTTCCCTCTCTCTCCATAAAATCAATTAAAAAAAAAGAATATATTCGAGAGACAATGGGTAGAATCTAAGAAAAGAAACATATAAAGACACTTCCAAACAGTCATCTCTCTAGTAACAGCATTTAATTATTTGTTTGTTTGTTTGTTTATTTATATTAATCCTCACCCAAAGACATGCTTATTGATTCTTGGGGGGGGGGCATTAATCGGGTGCCTCCTGTACACATCCCGACCACGGATTGAACCCACAACCTAGGTATGTGCCCTGATGCAAACTCAACCCTCAATCTTTTGGTCTACAGGATGATGCTCCAACCAAGTGAGACACCTGGCCAAGGCAGTAACAGCTTTTATGTCAAAATGAGGTGATAAAAGGACATAGTCAGAGAATGAGGTCTCAGCCCTGGGGACCCATTACTTGCCACAGTCACATTAGGAACTCCCCATTGGAATTGCTGACAAAGTACAGTAGCTATGCAGTAAAAAAGGCAAAGGGGAACTGAAAGTACAAGTGATAAGAGGCTAAGAGTTTGAGTGGCCTCTTCTGGCCTCATAACTCACTCACCTCATATAGTCCCTCAAAAAAAGTGTTCTTGTCCTCGGTGCTCCACGACTCCCACTGCCGACGGACCTTTTTGCCTTCTTCCTTCTCACCACCAGAAGATCCTAAGTTCCGGGAGGAGGAGCGAGAGGCCCCTGCAGAAGCAGCAGGGGCAACCCCAGACCCATTTCCAGATGATGATCCACCACCGTCAGCTCCTTTGAGAGAAAGGACTATACAGTTATCTGTTCCAGTAAACTGGAGAGGCTCCGGAAGGCCCCACTCTACACTCCTCAACTGCTGAGGCTATAGTGGCACAGCGCCTGGGACCTACTGCGTGCCCACTGGGGCTGTTCAGTAATGACATCATCCTGCCTGACCTCATACTCTTTCAAACGTTTTTACAGTGAAATAAAGGAGAAAGAAGATTTATGTAGAATCATTTAAAGAGCAAAATGATAATGTCCATGACAGAGTATACAGTTCTTTCCTCCCTTTGGACCAAAACCAAGCATCACATTTCACGGTATCTTTTTCAAATGAGGGTTTGGCTGAAATAATTCTTATCTTTTCAAATAAACAAACTGAAATTTCAAACTCAAAACATTTAAATGGGTATAAAAAAATGTGCCTTCTTTTAGATATATAAATACTTTAGTATATGAATAATTTGATTCCTAAGAATCTGTAAAAAGTCTTAAACTCCTCTTTTTCAGGCTTCAGCTTGGAGGAGGCCTAGGTATAACTTTCTTCAGTTGTCCAGAATCCAGGTTCATCCAACACCAAACATCTCTACCATGCTGCCAAAGACCAACCCCAATTAAGATCCAAGTCGTATACCCAAGGTGCGTAAGTGGGGAAATCCATGCCATGTATGCCCTGGTCCCTAAGTCTGTCTCCAAAAAATGGTTGTGATGACATCATCAAAGTAATAGGTGATTGGAAGGGTCTGAGGGTTACAGTGACACTGACCATTCCGAACAGAGAGGCCCAGATTGAGGTAGTGCCTTCTGGCTCTGCCTTCATCATCAAAGCCCTCAAAGAACCATCAGGAGACAGAAAGAAGCAAAAAACAAAACAAAACACAACACACACACACACACACACACACACACACACACACAGAGCACAGTGGAAATACTGCTTTTGATGAGCTTGTCAACATTGCCCAACAGATACAGCAGATCTTTGGCTAGAGAACTCTCTGGAACCATTAAAGAGATCTTGGGGACTGCCCAGCGTTGATGGCCACCACCCTCAAGACATCGTAGATGATATCAACAGTGGTGCAGTGGAACAACCGGGTACTTATGGGGGGAGAAAAAAAAAAAAACAGGGTCCAGCACAAATAATGCCCCTTTTTAGTAAAAATCTTTTATTATAAAATCGTAAGCATGTCTGTAACATAACAATATCACACTTAAGCACACCATATGACATTTTAGGTAAAATGGTTAGATTAAAACTATAAATTATTACATCCATATTACCCTACCAACCATACCCAAAGCAGGTGTTACTTCTGCCAGATCGTATATTTCAATTAAAGGTCATTTGACAACCAAAAACAAGTCTTAAAACTCCTCCTTCTTGATCAATTTCCACCAGAAAAAAAAAAATCTGGTATTCAGAGAGTGACCCTATAAACCTCACAAATGCTTTTAAAGCAGCAGTTCCTAATCTCAAGATGGGACTTTAAAAACCATGCTGAAGGGGAAAACACCATCAAGTATATAATAGAGTTTCCATGCCATGCTGTAAACCAAGAACTCTGCACTCGTAGGACAATTAAGGCAATAAATGAGAGTTAAAGTTCAGATAAAAAATCTGAACTTTGGTTTATCATCTAACCAAATGCTCCCACCCATCTAGTTCCTGCCTCAGAGGCAAGAAGCACTCCCAGGGTATCCCAGTGATAACAAGCATTCTCTTCCCACAGAACTGCAGGGCCATCAAATGGAAAGAAAACTTCAAACTCTGAACAAGGGTAAAAATAAAATCATAAAAATGAAAGTGCTTTACAAAGCAAAAGCCAAACAAATGCAGATTATTGTTAAGATGTTTTTCTAATAAAATAATCAAGAGCTTTCGATTTATTTCTTGGTTAATGTTGTGGGCCCTTGCTATGCAGACTGGGGCCACATTTCCCTCACTCCCTCAACAGGGGTCTACCTCCAAAGGATAAATAAAAAACAAGCAGTTGCACAAAAATCATCAGAAATAAAAGAAATGAAGCCCTGGCCAGGCGGCTCAGTTGGTTAGTGTCCTGATATGTCAAGGTTGCAGGTTCAAGCCCCCATTAGGGCACATATGAGAATCAACCAATGAATGTCCAAGTGGAAAAACAAATCGATGTTTCTCTCTAAAATTAAGGAAAAAAAAAAAAGAAAGAAAGAAAAAATTAAAGTTTGTTGATCCATGTAAGCTTTCAAAGACTATTCCTGGAAAAAACACAAGACACTGGTATCGGGGCTGCCAGAGGAACAGTGGCAGAGTCACTTTCTACTGTTAGGCTTTTCTAAGTGTGCCTCGTGAATCTGTTATCACGTCAAAATAGGGAGTATTTGAAAACAGTTAATCCCATCAGCTTTCAGAAAGCAGTATGTGTTTTTTCACACATGCTGAAAGAATTACTCAACCATATGGAATGGTTTGATTCTTTTGTGCAAAAAGGTGTATCAGTTAAGCAATGGGCTGACTTCCTAAAGCAGTGATTTTCAACCTTTGTCATCTCACAGAACACATAAACTAGTTTCTAAAATTCTGTGGCACACACAAAAATATATTCTTTGCCAAACTGACAAAAATAATAGGTACAACTTTGATCCATTCACAAAGGACAGCAAGTTGTGTTGGGTGTTGTCATTTTTAATTTGACAATCTAAGGGTAAAGAAGTCAGTGCCCTGACTAAATGATCAGTTATTGCACGTTTTAAAATTTTTTGCAGCACACTGGTTGAAAAATCACTGTCCTAAAGTAACATGAGTAAGTACCAGAAACCGCTGGTTTATCAGAGCTATACTGTCCAATTTGACAGCCACTAACCACATGAGGCTGTTTACTTACTTATTTATTATCACCTGAGGACATGCCCATTGATCTTAGAGAGAGAAGAGAAGGAGCAAGAGAGGGAAACATCGGTCAGCTGCCTTTCCTGCATATCCCTACTGGGGACCAAACCCTCAACCCAGGTATGTTCCTCGATGGGGAATTGAACCCACAACCAATCGAGCCACACCAGCCAGGGCCACATGAGGATATTTAAATAAAAAGTTAATTAAAATTAAACAAAACAAAATCTCAGTTCCTCGGTCACACTAGCCCCATGTCCAGTCATCAATGTCCACATGTGGCTAGTGGCTGCTGTGCTGGACAGCACAGAACATTCCTTTCATTGCAAAAAGTGCCACAGCCAGGGCTATATTTGAATTTTTGGCATTCACTGTCCCAAACGCACTGTTAGAGAACAAGAGATAATCAAGCTAAAGCATTCTACATCCCAGTTTCCTTTCCAGCTGCCCCTTTCTATCCCACATATATGTATCACAAAAACTTAATCCAGATAATCTCCATGCTACAGAGTGGGCTCAGAAAGTATGAGACACACAATTTGACTTTGTCTATTCCTCACCAAACCAAACCTGAAACATGACCTAATTAAAGAACCTTGCACTTCATATGATGTATTCAACAGGTACGGCAACTTTAAAACACATTTCCCAGGAAAATTGGTTTCATTCCATTTCTAGTAGGTCTGAGATCATTTAAAACACCACTCTTAAATACAAGAAGTTCTGGCTGACTTAAAGCCCACAATCCCTCATATTTTAATCATTTCAGGAAAGGATGACTGTCCATCTCTGTACCACCCACAACAAGGAATTTCAGAGTCATTTTTCACTTCTAATGAAACAGTCACTAAATTCCTTCTCTAAAAGATTTTATTTATTTTTAGAGAGAGGGGAATGGAAGGAGAGAGAGAGAGAGAGAGAGAAACATCTACCGGTTGCCTCTCGCATGCCCCCAACTGTGGACCTGGCCCACAACCCAGGCATGTACCCTGACTGGAAATCAAACTGGCAACCCTTCAGTTTGCAGGACAACGTTCAATCCACCAAGTTACACCAGGCAGGGCAAAACACTCAATAAAATTCCTTCTGAAATAACAGCAGCTTGCTAACCAGCCCTATCTATGGGCATAGCTCTGGTTTACTTTTGCCGGCCCATACTGGCATTAGATGTACTTCCAAGTAAAATATGCATTTTTGAAAATTCTGTAATACAGCTATTTTGTTAGCTTTTTTGAGATTTCACCAGATCACAGTACTGGTGACCCAAGAAAAGGAATGAACAGTGAAGGAAAACAGAATGGAAGCAATTCAGGGCTGGAAGGCACCTCAGGGGTAGAGAGCAGGATAAACCAAAACTGTGGATGTAAGAAAAGGTACAACAGTCAAAGCAGCTCTGCTGAGATACGACAGGCAGAAACCAGACCTCAGAGCAGCCCACCACTCTCACTGGCCGGAGGTCATATGCAGAGATGTTCAGCCCTTCATTCTGATGGGTCCAAATGATACATCCTTAGTAGAAGAAAACAAAGCAATGTGAGTATTTTTTAAAAAAGCAAATCACCTCCAAGTGACCCTTTTAAACATTTGGTACCCCATCATTCTAGACCTTATGATGCCTTGGAAAAGTAAAGTAGAGTCACAAAGCTTCCAGGCAGAAAGAGAACCGTGACATCTGGTTCATTCCCAACATTTCAGATGCTAAAGAAGCTTTATCATTTAACCTCAGGCTCACTCCAGGATTCCAGCTCAGGCATTAAAATCAGGGACTGGGATCAGAGACACTGGTAGAATATGATGGTGCCCACCTAGGAGAAGCTATCATCAGGACAGGAAAATTCAGATGCAGACGGTGATGACTGAAGGTAGGAGAGGGAAGCAAGTGAGGAGAACAGAGGTAGAAAGGCAAGAAGTGGAAAGAGAAGACAATCTGAACAAGACACGGTGGGTGTGGGGGCTTTTTCTGGCGATTGGAGTGTGGGAAACCCAGCAAAAAGTTAAGGGCCAAAATTAACCCTCCATCTGTAGCAACATGTGTGAGGCCACAAAGAGGGTTAGCAAGAGTCTACATGATGGTAAGTCAGTATCCAAGAAGCCTGAATGGAAGTGAGATGCAAGAATAGGATGCCCCACAGTGAGCTCTTTGACA